CTCTATCCTTCCTGTCTCGTCCCTCTCAACTGCCTCCCACGGCAAAGCCCGCTCTTCCCATCAGCACGCTTCTCCGCACTCGCCCACCACAAGCACCACCCGCCAGCGTGCAGTGCCATACTCCCCCAATGCGACCAGCGCTCACATTCCCAGCTCCGTTCTCCTACCTGTGGATACCAATGCCACGGGTACTGTGGCTGCTGCCACTGCTGCTCCCTTGCTATGTGCCTCCACACCGAACGCACCTCCTCGCACCTCCGTGCCCTCCAATTTTCCCGCAGACCCCGCCTCTGGAGTCTCAGCTGCTCTCGCTTCTCCCTCCACCCGCCAGCCCATGCCTCTGCTCTCCCCGCCGTTCTCTGCTGTGCCAGCTGCTCCTGGTAGCTCGTCAGCAGCGCCACTCACCTCCGCCCACGGCAGTAGTAGTACACTCACAGGGAAGCCAGTTCCATCTTCGCTCACCCTCCTCCCTCATGCCCAATCTCCCTCCTCCCCACCACTCCACCCTGCTAGCTCGCCTCCCGCTGCTGCGGCCACCAGCAGCACCTTACCTACCTCGCCTATCACCACTCCCAGCTCTTCGCTCCGAATCAACTCTCCTCCCCCCTTGCCCTCCACACCTCCCTTTACCTCCGCCCTCCGCTCCCCTCACGCCATTGCGAAGGCCCGTGCTCGTGCCCTAGTGCTCGCCAACTCCCTCTCACTAGACCCTCCTGCACCGCCTGCTTCTACTGCTGCCACTGCTGCTGCTGGCCCCAGCAGCAGCAGCAGCAAGCACACACACACTATCGCGCACACCCATGGCAGCAGCACCAAAGCCCCCCCCACCAGCCCCTCAGAAGCTCGTTCCCGTAGCCCTGTCTCCCACCGTACCTACCCTCGCCACCGCAAGTCTCCCCCTGCCTCCCCCCACGCCCTGCGCTCCCCCGCGCACCCTGTTTCGCCCCAGCATGACGCGGGCGGAGGAGGGAGGAGAAGCAGGGTTGGGGGGAAGAGGGGTGGGCCATTTCGGCAGAGGTCAGGGGAATGGATGGGGTGGGAGGAGAGAGAGGGAGAGGAGGAGGGTGCTTGGTCTAATGCCACTGAGATGGCACGAGCACAAAGTGAGCAGTGGGAGAGAGAGAGGGTGAGAGGGAGTGGAGCAGGGGCAGCAGGGAAGAGAAGGGATTCGGGAGTGGGAGTGGGGGCTGGCAGGCGGGTGAGTGGTTCCGGCGAGAGGGAGAGAGATGGGGATGGTAGAGCTGAGGGGCATAGGCAGCAGCTGAAGCAGCAGCAAAATAGTGACTTGGAGGCGATTGGCGTAGGGAAGGGGCACATGGAGGAGAGCACACGAGGCGGTGGTCGAGAGCACACAGGAAAGAGGAGAGACGTGAAGTTGCAACAGGTGCAGCAGGTGCAGCCGGTGCAGCAGGTGCAGCCGGTGCAGCAGGGCAACGGGTATGAGAACAAGAGAGAGCCTCTAGTTGTCAGTGTCAAACCCTCTCGCATGGTTGTTCGTATTCCGTCCCCATCTTCCCTTGCGCACACCTCACCTAAACCCCATCTTCCCTCTCCTCAGCCATACCCCTCTTCACAATCTTTCCCATCCTCCTCACAGCCCCAGACCCTCGTGCCCCCTCGCTCCTTCCCCTCACCCCCTAACCAACTCCCTACCAGAGACCCTAGCCCCAGCCCTCGATCTCTGTACCCTCCAGCCCCCCCTTCCCCCTCCTCCGCCTCTACTGTCTCCCTCTCCTCCTCCTTCATCCGCCGCTTGCCCAGTCCCAGGGCCCTGCCAGGAGCACCTGCCCTTGCTTCGCCCTTTGCACCAGCTGCCGCCGCTGCTGCTGCTGGAAGTGCATTGCCCGCAGCAACATCAAGCCAGTTTTCCCCCGCCCTTGTCTCTCCCCGTGCTGGCTCCTCCCTGCTGCCTTTGGCATCTCCAAGCTACTCCCACACCCCTCCTGCCTCCCTCGGCCATTCCTCCTCTGCTGCACCACCGTCCTCCTCCCACTCGTCTCACTTCTCTGCGAGCCAGCCCAGGCCGCTCTCGTCCACCAGCAAGGGCCCTGATTCTCTCACACCTGCTGCCACACTGGCAGGGGCGGGTATGAGAAGTGGAGTCAGCTCAGTGGGTGCGTCTGGTGCAGGTGGCAAGTGGGCAGGCAGTGGTGGTAGTTATCGCAGCAGCGATGGGCACACCCCAGGAAGTGTTCAGTCGCATGCTGTAGGGATGAGGGGTGGTGTGGGCAGTAGCAGCAACGACAGAGTCACTGGCAGTGGCGGCGGTTTCAGCCAGGGTAAACTTTCTCTGCATGTAGATGGGGCCCCGGTGCCTGTTCAGCCACCCACGAGCCCACTCTCCCAGATTAAAGCCGCTGCCAGAAGTCTCTCCCCTCTCCGATTGGTGAGCTCCGCACTTTCCACTCTGGTTGCAGCCTTCGTGCAAACTGGTTTCATGCTTTTGACATGCTCTTCCGCTGTGTGCTTACTCTGTGTCCATGCTGTGTGCTATATGGCTTCTCGTTTTGTATCATTGCAGCATGCAAATGGGCGGGCTTCTGACCAGGAAAGAAGGAGAATGCCAATTCGCCTCTTTTCACCCTCTTGAACTTGGCTAGGCAGTCTTGGGCGAAGCCAGGCATGCTTCTAGATTTATAGTGCAGGAATGCGAGTGAACCTACGTAATTAGCTTTTCGTTGATGGCCTTTGGAGCCTCATTGTAGTGGCCTTCACTAAGGGCCCACATAGTTTTAGTGGAAACTTGACTCTGTAATGAGTGTTTATCTATTGCTTTGGTGAAATGTGAGCGTATGGTGTGGTGAATCGAAGCTTCTGCAGAGAAGAAGATGACGTCATCATGCACTCTCATGCGAGCCACCACATCAACCCCACCGCAGCGTTTTGGGAGCTCATTTTCACATTCGAAGTCATAGATTTCGTCGTTTTTGTCTCGCATCATTCTTTTTCTCCTAGAAACCATGGCACCAGTCCTCTCCTTAGAGCTGTCGCAGGGGCATGGCGCCGTGGTGCTGGTGGCAGTGGCAACAGGAATCCTTAACTTTTGGATGAGTGCAGGCGTGATGTCAGCGAGGAAGAAGTAAGGATGCTGGCGATGGGTGGTGTATTCATTGTCTGCGGATCTGCTGCTCCCTGCTTACAACCTTTTTTTTGCCGCGTGTCGTACGGTGACAGGTACAACGTTCAATACCCGATTCTGTACGCATCTGAGTCTCACAAGAACGCCAAGGAGTTCAACTGCGTGCAGGTGCGATATCCGTGTACACCTTTGCGATCGCGAAATGTGCACTCGCTCGACCATCTCTACGCCTGTTGAATAACGATTTATTTCCCGGAAAAGGAGGATGTGTTGTTCTTTATTTGTTATTATGCCTCCCCTGTCTTGCACCGCAGAGGGCGCATCAGAACACCCTTGAGGTTCTTCCGCCCTTCCTTGTGTTCCTCCTCATTAGCGGCGTTGCGGTAAGCTTTCCTTGTCTACCAATAACTCTGCCCCCACACACCACGTGTTGAGTGCCATTCCTTTCTTCCCTGCTGCAAATCACCATGCCCTCATGACCTGCTTGCGTGCCTTTTCCTTCACCCATCGCAGTATCCGTGGACATCCACTGTGCTTGGGGTTATCTTCCTGCTTGGGCGCATTGGCTACTTCCTTGGTTACTCCACTGGCAGGCCCGAGGCTCGTTACAATGGAGGGTAAGTCGCCCCTCCCCTATGCTCACAGCACCTCCTTTCTCCCCCTTTCCCTATCTCACTTCCCTTGTTCGCCCTCCGCCCCTCCCTCGCTCTCCTCCTGTTGTCCCCTCCATTTCTGCACATCCCTTTTTCTACTGCTTGGTTTTTTTTGCTCCTAGGTCTTGGGAGATAGCAATCTCATAACCCACTTGCCATTCACACGATGTGCTTGCTTGAACTTGGCAGATTTTGGATGATTGGATTTTTGGGCCTCATGGTCAGCAACATAATTTTCGGTCTTACGGTCCTTGGTGTCCTTCAACACAAGGTGTAGATTGTGCATGGTACTACTGGTGTGGACGGCGGAAAATTTTATTAGCGAGAACATATCTTGTAGCAGGAGATTTGGCCTGTAATGATGTAAGAGCGTATTCCTATCCTCGTATCAAGAAAACCTCATATCAACCTCCCACTGAAAATTCCCCTAAACCCAAAACCTCTCGCTACTTTTACCAGGCAAAAAGTACAATCTTGATATTAGGTTTTCTTGATACGAGGATAGGAATACGCTCTAATGCTGGAGATCAGCTTCTTAGGGGATGGTCAGGATGTTAGCTGTAAGGCTTGATGGAGCACTTTCATAATAGATGAATGATATCGTAGTGAAATTCCCCGAAGCCTCAAAAGGGGTACGAATCCAACCAGTTCCAGGACCAGCCTGACAGCCAACCAGGTACGGCCACCAAGATAACCAAAGCATCCCCCAGAATCTTTGAACCAATAACAACAATGAGCGGGCGGACTCTTGCCAATCGATCGAGTCGCGATTGTTCTTGTCAACCTGGCAACGATCGGCTGGCGTTGCTTCCAACTGCGCCGCGCTGTCGCTCCTTGTCACTGCCTCCTCCTTGCGCTCAAGAGCAGTCCCCTTGTCCACCCGCCCCTGCCAGTCTCCCATACCCGGACGCCCCAGAGCGGTTACCCCTGCCCCATTTTCCTCAAATTCCTCCCCCTGTTATCCGCTCTTCCCCTCGCCCCGCACCTCATCCACATTCCCAGGACTCCTCCCGACTCGGTTCCCTCATCCTGGCTGTCTGCCCGTTCTAGATTTTGCCGTGCTTCCACCAAAGTCACGTCACTCAGCAGCAGCATTGTTCCACGCAGACTTGGGTGGCCAGTAAGCCATTCTCCTGTTATGCGTGCTTGGAATTGGCTTGAGAATTCTGATCCTCGGCATTAGACAGCTGGCATCGCCGCCATTAAGATTTAATTTGGCGACATTTAAAAAATAAAGCTGCGCCTTTTTCTTGTCAGCCGCGTGAGCAATGTCGTCAACCAGTTACAATCTCGGCATCGCCGAGGTCGCGCGGTCGCACGCTGTGCCGCCGCACTCGTCGCTGGTCGTCCGATCGTCCTCCTTGGGTGCATCCAACATGCAACCCCTCTCCACCTCCCGCAGCCCATTCCTCTCCAGAACAACCCCCGGCGCAGCACTCCGCGCGCGCCGAAACGGGGGAGCGGCAGCCGCGTCTGGTCCGGTGAAGGTTGAGGGGAACCTGTGGGACGACCTGCAGCGCGCGGCGACGGGCAAGGATGCGGGGAAGGCGGAAGACCTGGACAAGGGGAAGAAGAAGTATGGCCGCGAGACTGTGCAGTACAAGCCGAACCGCACGGTGGCCGGGCGGAAGAGCGCGGGGAGCGCAGCTTCCGGCGGCGGAACTACCTTCCTTAGCAGGTCCCCTAGCTCCTCCGCGCGCAAGGGCACGCAGTACGCAGTGCGGGCTGCGGGGAAATCAAGCGGAGGCACGCAGCTGATCGTGCTTGGGGGAAAGGGCAACGATAAGGGGAAGGGGGCGCGCAACGGGAACGGGGAGGGCGGAACTCAGAAGCTGCTGGCGGATGTGACGTCTGGCCTGGGGCTATCGCTGGGCGGCAATGGCGGCGCGCAGAAGGACGGCAAACTGGTGTTCGTGGTGGGCGCCGGCAGCAGCGTGGGCGCCGCCACTGTGAGGTGAGTGGTCGTGCCATGGTTGGGGGGGGATAAGGGACAGGCGGCATGGGGGAGGGGATGGGCGTTGGGGTGGAGGTGGTGGTGGGAATGAGCACAAGGATGGGGGAGGGAGGAATCAGGAGAAGAATGTACGGAGGGCGGGAAAAAAGAAAAGGGATGTCAGGACTCAGGCCCCGGTGATGCGAGAACAAGGCACGGTAGCCAGTGTCATGTCATGTTTGGCACTCATGTACGCGCATGCTTGATGAACGCTGCACGCGCCTCTCCACGTTGACACGAATCGCCCCATCCTCTCCTCCGCCGATCCCCCCGTGGCAGGGAGCTGGTCCGCTTGGGGTACCGCGTGCGCGTGCCGCCCAACGAGGCGGACGCCGCCCAACCGCTGCTCGCTGACGTGAGTTGCCGCCGCGGGGCCGCCACACTTTCGCCAGCCTTTCGTGTCGTTTCGTTTCCGCTTATTTGCCTCCCATCCATGTCTTACTTCTTCTCTCCATCCCTGCTCCACGCCCTTCGCGCTGCGCCCTCTTTATTCCTCTCCCTTCGGACGCTCCTTTCATCCTCCCTGCCTCCCGCCTTGTGCCGCCATTGGTTGTGCTGCACGCGTCTCACCCCCCATCTCCTTCTTTGACATGTGTGTCCTGACCGCATGTGTATTGCTGATGGCTCTCATGTGCATGTGCCTCTGCATGTGCCTCTGCATGTGCCTGTGCCTGTGTGTGTATGTGTGTGTATGTGTGCGCGCATACGCATGTACATCGCGGCGCCGCTATCAGCTACCCGAGCCGCCCAAGGGTCTCCTTGACGTACGTCGCACACCTTGCCCTCCGCCACTTCCGCTTCTTCAGTCCGTCTGCTTCAAAGATTCTCCTGAAATCGCCTAATATACGGGAACAAAGAAAAGGATTTAAAGATTTCATTCCGCTATATGACTTAATCCTACCTTTACGATCCCTCTTCTCACTCCGCCCCTCTCTCGCACCTGTCGCCACGTGTCTCCACTGTCGCCGCCAAATCCTGCCACTATCCGTCCTCCCCTTGCACATCACCATTCCCTCCTTTCTTCGCTCATCTCGTCCCTTCCCCCGCCGTCCCCCCGACTCTTTCCCCCCTCCCCGCCGTGCCCGCAGATGTTTCTCCCCGGCGGCGCCAGTCTCCCCGCGGTGGAGTACGCGGAGGCGCTGGGCGCGTGGCCGCTGGGCGCGGGGGTGATCGGCGCGGAGGACGCCATGCGCGGCGTGGGGAGCGTCGTGTGCGTGGCGGACAGCCTTGACACTAGCGTCATCAGAGCGGGTACGTGCGGGGAGTGGGGAGGCGGAAGGGGGGGTGGGGGGAGAAGATGGGGGAGGGGAGCGCGGGAATGCGCGGGATAGTTGAGCGGTGCTGTGGCTGGTTTATGGTACGCTGGTACCTGCTGCCTTCCCCTCTCACTCCCTCCCCACCCCTCGTACGTACCTCTGACTCTGTCAACTCGCTCGCCTCCTGTGCGGCTCTCCGCTTCTCCCCCTCACTTCCCACGCCCTCGTCCGTCCGCCTCTCTTCCCCACCTCTACCCCACGTCGTCCCCTCCCCTCAATCACTGCGCAGCGGAGGAGCTGCAGGCGCGACGATTCGTCCTCGTGCTACCGCCCATCAGCAACCCCCTAGCCAAGTAACCTCGCCTGCCACCCTCCCCCCCTTTCCCCTCGCTACCCAATTGCGCCTTCACAACTTTCCCTGTCTACTCCTTCGCCTCCCTCCACCCACCACGGCGTGAGATAGCATGCATGGTGCTGTTACCGTGCGAGGTCTGCCCGTCCTTGCCCTTGTGCGCTGCTGCCTTTTAACCAATAAAAAAGTCGCACCAAAAGAGCATTCGTACGCTTTTTACCAAGCCTTCATGATTTCTACACAATTCCCACATGATTTCTGGTTGATGTCAAGCCTTCACCAGTGCGCCTGCATACAAAAGCTTCCCCCATCACTCAGCAACCGTCTGAACCGAACTACACTTTTCCACCGTAACACCCGCGGCTCTGTCCGTCCACATCCTCTGCGTGCCCACCCACCCACCCCCGCCCGTCCACCGTGCGTCCCGGCAGGCTGTTTGAAGCGGCGTCGTGGCAGGCCAAGGCAGAGCAAGCACTCGCTGACTCCGCCCTCGACTTCACTGTACGCCCCCCCTCCCCCCCCCTTCCCCCCCCTTCCCCCCCCTTTCCCCCCCTTCTCTCTCTACCTTATGGCCGTCCTCCTCTCCTTCCCTCCCATCCCCTCCTCTTCCCTCCCCTCTCCTCCCATCTGCTCTCCTGCCCTCCAACCTTTCCCGTTCATACACCACCTGTCTTCTCTACTGTCTCTTACACCGTACCTGCAGTTATCCCATCAGCACACCACTTCCCTATGAACGCTCTCCCTCACTCGCTTACCTCTTCCTTCCCCGGACCCTCTGGAACCGCCACACTCCCCTCTTCTGACCCCTAGGTCGTCCGCACGCCTGCCATCGTCGAATCCCTCCCCACAGCCTCCGCCCCTTCCCCCTCCGCGCCTGCTGACTCCGCCTCCTCCCCTACTTCCTCCTCCTCCTCCTCCTCCTCCGCGGACTCCCCCCCCGCGCCCTCCCCCCGCGTGGCGCTGCGCCTGGGGCCCAACGCGCGCGGGTCCATCTCAGAAGGCTGGCCGTCTGGTGCCATCTCGCAGAAACAGGTGCGGGGGGCGCGGGAAATTGGGGGGAGAGCGGAGAGAGGGAGCGGGAGGGGGTTGAGGTATGGAGAGGAGAAGAGCTGGAAAAAGAGATGGATGGGAGGCGAGGAGAGGCAAGACACACAAACAGCAAAGGATGGAATGTCTGGAAACCCGGAGAGGCGCCTTGGATGGGATAATAACGAGGCAGTTGTTTATCAGTGCTTAAGGGTGCTGGCCCAGGTTACCACATAAATCTAGGCGTGGGATTGGATATGTCGGCACTTGCACCCCCTCCTCTCACACGCTCATACACCTGCCGTCACATGCTGGCAGTCACTCCACACAGCTTCTACCATGTGAACAAAGCATAAATACAGCAACCCCACCTCCCGTCTGTCATGATTGATCTCTCTTCCAACTCCCCACGCCATGCATTCTCGCCCGTGTCTGCTGTTCTCCATCCGTGCACCTGCACCTGCCATGGCCCTGCCCTGCCCCTGTGTTACGAGCAGGTGGCGGGGGTGGTGGCGAGGGTGGTGGCGGGGGTGCTGAAGGAGGGCTCCCCGAGCCTCAAGCGCCAAGTGGTGGACGCTGTCGTGCAGCCGTCCGCGTCCCCCCACCTCCCATCCCTCTCATGAATCTCTCTTCCAACTTCCCACACCTTCTGTGGAGAGCAGGTGGCGAGGGTGGTAGCAGGGGTGCTGAAGGAGGGCTCCCCGCGCCTCAAGCGCCAGGTGGTGGACGCTGTGGTGCAGCCGTCCGCGTCCCCCCAGCCCTCCGTCTCCGCGCTCATCGATGCCGCGCTCTCCCAGGCCGCCGCTGCTGCCAAGCCTGCGCCTGCTGAGGTGAGCGGTGTTGTAGGGAGATCTCGCAGTGTGGGGGGGGCGGGGGGAGGGGGGATAACGTTGGTAGATGGGTAGAGGATGGATGAGATGAGAATGTGGCACTCTCATGCAGTGCAGACAGGTCAGGGTACTCGTGCAGGGCAGGGCAGTTATGCTAGTTTCCATTCCACATGGGGTGCAGTGCAGCAACATGCGCGTGCTACTTGGGTTGACGGAAATGCCACACACACGGTAGTTCCTGGTGCATGGTTCACCCTGATGCGATGTGTTGATCTCCGCCCACGCTTGTGACCGGTCCCCGTGTGCATCTGTCCCTATCCGTGTGTGTGTGTGTGTGTGTGTGTGTGTGTGTGTGTGTGTGTGTGTGTGTGTGTGTGTGTGTGCGTGTGCGTGCCCCCGTGTACCACAGGCGCCTGCTGCCGCCAGCCCCAAGTTCAAGCTGCCAGCCATGGCCATGCCCACTGCCTTGACAGGCAACAACGCACCCAAGAGCGACGGCAAGGAAGCGAAAGGTAGCAGCAAGGACGCAGGCAAGGAGAAGGAGAAGGAGCAGGAGAAGGCTAGCGGGACGGTGAAGCTGGGTCTCAAGGAGGCGGAGAATCTCCTCTCGCGCTTCACCAAGCCCAGGGACGCCCCTGCAGTGGAGGAGCCGGCCCAGCCCGCGTCTGACCCGGTTGCGCGCGCCCAGGAGGCTGTAGCCAAGGCGCAGCAGCAGCTCGCGCAGTCCCTCTCCCTGCCCTCCTTCCCCTCCGCCTCGTCCGCGTCTGGTACCAAGGGCGGCACGCAGCGCGGGGGGACCGTGCGCATGGGTGTGCAGAAGAATGGCGGGGTGAAGGCGGGCGTCAAGAGGGGCGGCACCAAGGTGATTGACAAGCGCGCACAGCGTAGGATCGTGGCGGGGAACGCGGCGCAGAGGCAGAGGCAGCAGCGCGGGCGCAAGGCGGAGGAGGGCGAGGAGGGGGGGATTGATCTGCTGGGGTCGTGGGTGCAGGGCATCCAGTCGTTTGATGGACAGCTGCCCACTAGACCAGTCAAGAAGCAGCCTCCTGCTCTCCAATGGCTTCAGTCCCTGTGAGCCCCTGCTTCTGCTGCTGCTGCTTGCTGCTTACTGCTTGTTATGCTGCGCTGCGTGCACGTTGGCCCTCTGCACTCCTCTCTCGCTGCAATCTCACTCCTCTGTTCGTTGCAATATGACTCCATAGGCTTACGTAATGTCTTCTTGTTCCATCCTCTGTGTGATCCTGTGTCATCCCCTTGTGTGCCTGCCCCTCTGTCTTCATCCCCCAGCCTGCCACAGGAGGAGGAGGAGGTGCCAGAGCCGGAGGAGCAGGGACCCCTGGCTGCAGCGCGGCGCCTCTTCTCCCCGGCAGCACCTCCTCCCGCACCCGCTCCTAAGGCCCCCACTGGCGCCGCCGCCATAGCCTCCTCTGCTGCTACTGCTGCTGCTGCTGCGGCCGTGGTGACGGCATCTGCTGCCGTGTCTGCAGTGGCCGGCCTTGCACAGGTGGTCACTCCATCGCCCTCCTCCTCTTCCCCCTCAACTGCTGATGCTGATGCTGCTGGAAAGGACGCTTCCCCTGCTGCTGCCGCTGCTGCTGCGTCTGCAGAGGCTGAGAGCGGCAGCGAGGGGGGCATGCAGGGAATGAGGGCGCTGGCAGGCGCTGCAGCATCCGCACTGAAGGATGCGGTGGCGAGTGCGGCTGACATGGTCAAGGTGGAGAGTGTTGTGGAGTCCAAGCAGGAACCTGTCACGCCTCCTCCAGCTGCCACACCTGCTGCAGCTGCTGTTGCTGCTGTTGCTGCCGCTGTCACTGCAGCCGTCCCTGCTAGCTCTCCTGCCGCTGCTCCTGCCCCCGCTGCCACTCGTGCAGCTCCTGCTGCCGCTGCTGCTGCTCCCGCCGCTGCTCCCGCCGCTGCTGCTAAGGCTAGTAGCGCGAGTGTGGTAGCAGCAGTGAAAGAGGTGGTGAAGGAGAAGAGTGCAGAGGACATTGCTCGGGAAGAGGAGAAGCGCAAACAGGAGGAGGAGAGGAAGAAGGCAGAGGAGGAGAAGAGGATTCGCGAGGAGGCAAGGAAGAAGGAGGAGGAGGAGAAGAAGAAGAGGGATGCAGAGGAGAGGAAGAAGAGGGAGGAGGAGCGCAAGGCACGAGAGGCTGAGAGGAAGAAGCGGGAGGAGGAGAGGCGTGTGCGGATCGATGCCGAGTGGAAGGCTCGTCAGATGGAGAGAAAGCGCATGGAGGAGGAGGAGAAGAAGAGGCAGGATGCGAGGAGGCTGATGGAGAAGAGGAGGCAGGAGGAGGAGGCGCTGAGGCTGGCCCAGCTGAGACAGCAGCAGGCAGAGGAGAGGCGCAAGCAGGAGGAGGAGAGGCGTAAGAAGGAGGAGGAGAAGAAGAAGCAAGCAGAGGCGGCTAAGAAGGAAGCAGAGGAGAAGAAGAGGAATGAGGAGGAGGAGAAGCGGGCAGTGGTAATGAAGGCTCAAGAGGAGGCGATGCAGGCAGCCAGGAAGCTGGAGGAGGAGGAGAGGAAGCTCAAGGAGAGGCTGTCGTATCCACAGCCATCAAAGCGCGAGTCTGAGGGCGTGGTGTTCGTCACAGGGTAAGAGCTGGGGGTGTGTATGGGTGGGAGGGTGAACTAAATGGGGTGCGCATTAACATGTGAGTGGTGTTTGTCAGTTGGATTTTTGCACATTTGTGAATGACTATCTTTTGTCCAACTAATCTCATCCTTCCCACACTATGATCTATCTCTGTTCTGCCCTTTCCCGCCCTACAGCAACACTACACCTGGCCGTTACTTCACTCTTAAACCCATGGCTGAGCGCAAGAATCAGTGATGGTATCATGTACACTTCCAAACGAAGAGGTTGGGTTGGAGGTGGTGGTTTGTTTTGTTTTTATTTGGTGTGTTCTATATGCAATAATAGTATAACTGTAACACTAGTCAGACTTTATCAGTATACTCTACATAAATATGTTTATTCTCCAGTTGATGAGAAATGTGTAGTAGAAATAGCGTGAGTAGAAATCAATGGGAGTCGAAACCTATGCGTACACTAAGAAATTGTCTTTGGCTTTTGACGCGTATGACACGAAATTTTAGCCTTGACGCATCGTCCTCATCGGTGATCATTCATGCGCTGTTTCCCGCCAATCACCACATCCATATCTCCTGTCCCCCGCCTACATCCATCCCTCTCCTCTCCGCACAACGCTTCCCTCTTTTCTTTTCATCCGCGTCTTTCCCACAACGCATCCGCTGTCTCACTCCAGCCTCCTAGATTCGGGTCGTTTTTGTGAATCCAGATCATTACCGTCAGTGACTTGGACCACTACCACAGCCTCGCGACTGCCTCTCGGCGTCCCAAGTCGTTGATTAATCTGCGTGTTCGCTAGATCTCGCGTTACTTGATCCTCGCGTTCGCGCATCGACCGACTCCTTGCAATGGATAGCAACAGCAACGCTTCCCCCGAGGATCCCGACAAGCTGCACGCGAGTTCGGGATCGTCGGGGAAATCCGCGGAGGAGGCTCTAGCGTCGTTAACGGTAGCGGGATCGCAGGATAGCGGCAAGGGCGCAGCGTCTAGTTCAGGGGGGGATAAGGGCAAAGCCGTCGCCGCGGCAGCAGCTGCCGCTAAGCCCGCAGTCCCAGCGCCTCTCAGCGGGCCTCTTGCGCTCATGTCGCAGCTCATGGGTCAGCAGCCGCGCCGCCATCTCTTCTGGGAGACGCAGCCCGTCGTCGGCGGCACTGCCGGCGCGCCGGCTCAGGCAGGAGCTGCAGGCGGCGGCGGCAGTGAAGCCGGGGAGAGCGGAGCCGGCAGCAGCAGCGACGGCGGCGGCGGAGGTGGCGGCGCTGTCGCCCGCGTGGATATTGCGGAGGAGGGCCCGATCGAGCCGCCGACTCCGCTGGAGCAGGTCCGCGCGGAGCCGTACGCGCTGCCGGCGGCGTACGAGTGGTGCACATGCGACGTGGATAGCGACGCGGAGATGCGCGAGGTGTACGTGCTGCTGACGAATAACTACGTGGAGGACGACGATAACATGTTCCGATTCGACTACTCGCAGGAGTTCCTTCGCTGGGCGCTTAAACCCCCGGGATTCTACAAGTCGTGGCATGTGGGTGTGCGCGCGCGCCAGTCGCGCAAGCTCGTCGCGTTCATCACGGGGGTTCCCGCCACGGTGCGCCTCCGCGAGAAGCTGGTCCGCCTGGCGGAGATCAACTTCCTCTGCGTGCACAAGAAGCTGCGCTCGAAGCGCCTCGCGCCTGTGCTGATTAAAGAGGTAACGCGGCGCGTGCACCTGCAAGGGATCTGGCAGGCGGTCTACACCGCAGGCGTGGTCCTGCCGACGCCCGTGACCACCGCGCAGTACTGGCACCGATCGCTAAACCCGAAGAAGTTAATCGACGTGGGGTTCTCGCGCCTCGCGCCGCGAATGACCATGTCGCGAACCATCAAGCTGTACCGACTCCCGGAGCAAACCGCGACGCCCGGGCTACGCGCCATGGAGCGGCGCGACGTGCCGGCCGTGTGCCGGCTGCTGAAATCGTACCTCGCGCAGTTCGTGATCGCGCCCGAGCTGAGCGAGGCCGAGATAGAGCACCTGCTGCTGCCGATTAAAGACGTAATTGACTCGTTCGTAGTCGAGGACCCTAAGACGCACGAACTAACGGATCTCGTCTCCTTCTACACGCTCCCGTCGACGATAATCGGTAACGACAACTACAGCAACCTCAAGGCGGCGTATTCGTTCTACAACGTGGCGACGGCGACGCCGCTGCTGCAGCTGATGAACGACGCGCTGATCCTGGCGCGGCGGCGCGACTACGACGTGTTCAACGCGCTCGACATCATGGAGAACGCGCAGTTCCTCAAGACGCTCAAGTTCGGCCCGGGCGACGGGCACCTGCACTACTATCTCTACAACTACTGCATGCACGGGCCGTTTCAACCCGCGCACCTCGGCCTCGTGCTGCTCTGACCCTGTTCGCACTGCTGCAGGCGCTGCTGTTTTACCCCCTCCCACCTCCCCGCATCCCCTTCTCACGCCTTCCCTCGTCCCCGCCTGCCCCCTTTCCCCGCTCCGCTCTCCCCGGGCTGCCTTCCCTCAACTCCCCTGGGCTGTGTGCATGACTTGGAGTGTGCATGCAGCAATGGGTGGCCAGTCATGTTGGTATATGCGCCATTCTGTGTGCTGTTGTGGGTAGTCCTGCCCTCTCACTGATCATTCACTTGCGGTGTTAGCTCAGGTTCCAGTCACTATACTGCATACTAGTTGTAGAAGGCTATAGTGGTCTGGACTGCAGGGGTTGCAGATCAGGATTTTAGCTTTTAGTGTGGTGGTTAGAGACCAAGTTTTCACATTGTTGTGGGAATGGAACCATTAACCATTGTCATGCTGAGTTTCAAAGATCTGGAATGCCTTTCCCTGTGGCAGGCCCTTCATGCCTGTTTGATAGTAGGAGAACACACAGCAGTCAACAGCAGGGGGGCTGCGCAACCCTCCCTTGCCAAGCTCTGCCCCTCCAGTTGCTGCGCCGCAACACATCTTAGGAGGCGCTGCTGCTGCTGCTGCTGCTGCTGCTGCTCCAGCTGCAAACCCTTGGTCAGGTGCAGGGGAGCGGGGGGCGGTGGGGGCAGCAAGCAGAGCCGCCATGCCTTGCGCTGCCCTGGCAGTCACTCGAGGGCGGTTGCGCAGGTCCTTGGCAGAGGCAGCAAAGAAGTGCTCCTGTATGGGGCACATGGGTGGTGGGCACATGGGGAGAGGTGGGCGCTGGGCAGACAGAGGCTCGCACAGGGTAGTGTGTGGAAACAGGGGAGTGGGCATGTTGCACAGGTGAGTGTGCATGGGCATGGGTGAGTGTCTGTAACGGTAACACATGGGAGAATGGGCGCACGGCATGGGTGGGTGAGTACTGGTGGGGGAGTGGGCATACCGCATGGTGGGCAGCAAGGCGGACGAGCAGGCGGCCAGTGCAGTCCTCCAGCAGCAGCAGCAGCCCTGCTGCCCACTGCTTCTCCTTCTCCCCCCCACTTGCCCTGCCGTCCTGCTCCCCCTGGTTCACCTTTCCACTGCCCCTGCCCACACCCCCTCTTCTTTCCCATCCCTGCCTCTTCCGCTTACCCCCAACCACCTCTCCATCCACCTGCGCGCCCTTGCTCCCCGTCTCCCCATGTACTTCACGCACATTGGCCCCCTCACTACCATGACCACCACTGCCCCCGCCACTGCCATCACTGCCACCGTTACCTGTACCCGCGTGCCTCTCATCAGCGCTCATTCGCCCAATCATGGTATTCGTGGGGGAGGGAAACCCCAAGGGAGGTGCACGGGGGGCAGAGGGAGCGGCGGCGGGAGCGGCGGAGGAAGCGGGGCGGGGCTTGGGGGGCAGGAAGGCGGTGAAGTGGCGGGGGTGGATGTGCGACGCATAGATGACCCGGGCCACACAGCGGAAGCGGTAGGGTACCTGCAACGATGGCATCATGGCACAGCGGCGACAAACATGGCAGGGAGTTTGTTGTTACGTATATATACATGTGTATATCATATTATTATCATGTGCACCAACAGCATTGGCAGAGAGCAATGCATAAAGTGACAGCAGCAGCAGCAGCGGCAGCAAGGGGCTCACTTGAGGGTGGCAGTATATTTGGCGGAGAGTGGAGTAGGGCTGCAGTGGCCGCTCTATTCCTGGTGTAGCACGTTGGGACGTGCAGGGGTAAGGGTAGGGGGAGAGAGGCAGGGTAGACAGTGCGTGGGATGGGCAGAAGTTTGGGGCAGAAAACAAGAGGCTTGCAGGCTGGAAAGAAAGAGTAGGGAAGGAAGAGGCGGGGAAGGGAAGGGGTTACGAAGCAAGCAGTAGTGAGTGGTGCACGGGGAGGGCAACTCACTTGTGATGGCAGCTGTGCTTGCACACTGAGCAAGCGCGCCCATGCGTGTCAGTGCATCCCCACTCGCCTCCCTTTCTGCATACCTCCTGCCGTGAGGCAAGCATGGAGGGACACGCACAGCCCACCACCAAGCCAGCCGTGGCACATGCGGCGCGCATGCGAGCAAGGGAGAGAGAGAGAGAGGGAAGAGAGAGGTGAGGGAGAGCGCGGGAGCAAAACAAGGCACACAATGATACCGAATGGCTGCTGCAAAGGCGACAGCACCATACCATCTCCCCGCCTTTCCCTTCGCCTCCCCCTCCGCATCAGCAGCCTTTACTGGACATTCTACTTCCCCCTCCACCTCTTCACCCCCTACACCCCTTACCCCGCGCACCTAATAACGTGCGCCACGTCAGCATAGTGCTCCTTCACAGGACTCACCCTGCTCTCAGGGCCCAGAACCCCCACCCACTCGCCCTCCTCCTCCTGCCATGCCCCCCGCACCTTCTGCAGCAGCACCCAGCACGGCACCACGCCTCCACGCTCCCCCCCCACCGCACCCGCCCTCCCCTCCCCTCCGGCCTCCTTCCCCTGCTGCCCTGCTCCTTCTGCTGCCCTGTGCGCGTGGCGAGTGGGTGGAGCCGGCAGGCGCGGGGGGAGCAACCGCTGCAAGAGGTGGTCGGGGTGGGAGGCGAGGCAGAGGATGGGGAGGAGAGAGCCCAGTGGGGGCAGCCGGTGGAGCACACAGGGTGGTGGCCCCACACGACTGCCAATAGAAAACACCGGGTGCTTGCTGCTGCTGCTGCTGCTGCTGCCGCTGTTGTTGTTGTGCGCTGCGGCTGCTGCTGCTGCTGCTGCTGCTGCTGGTTCTTGTGCTGGTGGTGTAGGTGGTGGTGCTGATAGTGGTCTAGGTGGTGGCATGGCATGGGGAGCAGGAGTGCCACTAGTACCACCACCACCTAGCTGCTGCTTCACGGCAGGGATGGGCGCTGCAGGCCTGCACAGATAAGTGTTGAGGGGTTGGGAGGTCATGGCGTGACTTGTTCGTTGTGGAATCGTTGCGTTGCGCGTGCAAGTGGAAACGAAAGTGGAAACGAATCAAGCACTGGATGCCCGTGCATGCGCAGAGATGGACGCGCAGAGAGGGTTGCGCAGAGAGGGACGCGCAGAGAGGGATGATCAGAGAGAAGGAAGCGAGGGGTGAGGAAGTGAAAGAGGGGTATGCAAGGGACTGACGAGAGGAGAGGCGGTAGAGGGGTGTCGGTGCCGTCCCATGCCCACAGAACGACCACCCGCCCCATCCTCTGCACATGCCACACCTGATCCCATGCTCACATGCACACGCGCATACACGCACATACACACAGACAGACACACACACACACACACACACACACACACACACACGCACACACACACACAGACACACGTACACGCACACAGACACACACACACACACACACACACACACACACACACACACACACACACACACACACACACACACACACACACACACTCAGGTGAGACTCAGGTGAAGGGAAGTTAACAGTGCCCAGTTAGGGACTGGAGGTAGTGACTGCAGGTAGTAGGGTGCAGAGATTGGGGTGCTGACCTGCACGCACATGTCGTAGTCCGTGTCGTTTGTGATGCCACTGATGGGCAGCAGTGGCACTGCACATGCCTGTGCACCTGCCAGCACCCAACGGATAATGCCGTCATGGGGTGGTGGTGGGGCGGCATGGCATGGCATGGCATGGGATTGTCTGGCACATGAGATACCAATAAGATGCATATGCGTGGGTGGGTGAATCTGTTTTTTTAGAATTCTCAGAAAACACATGAGATGCGTATGTCATGGCATGGGTGGGTGAGCGGCAAGGAACTTTGCTATCAGGGGGCGAGAAGGCACTGCCACGCTCGCAGCTTCGTGGCATCACATCTTTCTTTGCAGAGCAAGCACTTGCATTCTGGTTACCGCTCACTCCGCCACATCTCTCATCCTAAAAAGCACTCGCATCCCACGTTCCAAGCCCGTCTCACCCTCCTCCAGTGTTCACGTCTCGCACTGTGACTGTCCCACCCTCTCACCCTTCCTCCTACGCCCTCCCTTCTGCAACCTCCCTTCCAGCCATCCATCTTTCTCTTCTCCACAAACCACCCCGCACCCCCTTCCCCCCGCACAACGCCACAGCACGCACGGGGTTGGAAGGGGAAGCCGTGCGCCCACTGCCTCAGCGCCTGCACGCGCTGCTTCACCGGGCCCGCGGGCAGGAAGGCGGTGGGGGAGGGGAAGGCGGAGTAGGGGCGCAGGGGCGCGCCTGGAGCGCCCGGGAACAGCGCACAGCTGCTGCGCGCACCGCCCTGCATCCCCCTGCCACTGCCACCGTTGTTACTGCCGCCTCTGCCGCCTCTGCCACCGCCGCCGCCGCCGCCGCCACCGCCGCTGCTGGTGGTGGTGGTGGTGGTGGTGTTAATGTGAGCGATGCCTTGAGGGACTGACTGATCCACTGTGCTCTGATGGACACAGGAGATGGGGAGGGAGACGCGCGGCGGGGCAAGGGGAGGGGACGAGAGAGCATGGGAGACGCACGCGAGGAGTGCGGGAGAGAAACAGAGCGGTCCACGCACAAAGAGGCTTGCCAATTCAGCGAACTCGGCCGTGAATGTAACCGACGAGTCAAACAGCATGGAGCGGAGATTGATTTAGCGCAAGAGCATTGAGAAGAGGAGTGTGAAGCAGAGAGCGATGGGAAGGAGGACGGCGCACGAGCAGGTGGTGCAAGGCGATGACATCCCCCACGCCCGCCACGCACGGCAGGTCGTCTGCACTCCCCGCTATGGCCGTCACTTGGTACCCGGGGAGGTGACACGTGGCGTCCGCTAGCAGTAGCGTGCAGCACACACCTGCGATTCGCCAGAAGGAGGAGGGAAGATGGCGGGGGTAAATGACGGGGGAAGGTGGCGCAGGGAGATGGCAGGGGGAAAGGAGGAAGAGGGGGAAGGACGTGTGGGAATGGAGGGACTTGACTAGACGAGCAGAGCTCGGAAGCGCAAAGCAGGCTATGAGAAGGAGGAACAGAAGGAGCCATGCGGGTTGGTGAGGAGGCTCACGGGTGCCTTGGAAGCTTCGCACGCAGTCAGCGAGCACCACCACCCCCACTACGTTCACCCGCCTCCCCGCCGCGCGCGCCACGTCGGCCAGCGCCGTGTACTCGTGATGCTTGGATGGCGGACGCTGACGTGGCACGGGACGAGGCAAGCAGTGGGAGCAGGGAGAGTGCGGGGAGAGAAGCTAGTGAGAAATGGCTGGACGGCGCCGGAGGGGGTGGGTACGAGAGAAGGAGGTGAAGGCGAGAAAAGGACGGGTGAACGGAGAGAATGGTGCGAGGCAAGGCAATGGTGAGACGTAGGACGGGTTGGCACCGACGCGCGTAGAACTCACAGCCATCACTTAGTCGCCCTGGTAGCGCCGTTAATATTTTATTTTAAGGCGCTTCAAAAATCGACGAGCTTAGTCACAGCCATCACTTTAGTCGCTCCGGTAACGCCAGTAAGAAGTGATTGAAATCATGTGTACTCGCGAGTCACCACCACAACGTGCTGCCGCGCTTCGACTGCCCGCCATTCACGTGCTTTGTCACATCGGCCACATTTGTCGTAGGTTCAGTGCGGTGCTTTGTATTTCCCATACGGAAATACAGTAAGAGTTTCAACAGCTAGCTGCCACGTATTTGTTTTGTTCAACCATGGAGCTGTGGACCATGGAACCACCATGTTCTGTCATTTTACAGCTGTATTGTATTTGCAAAGGTTCTGGCCAACATGACAAATAAACATGAATGTCATCATTTTCCTTCAGAGAGTACTGAAGAGTGAACATGTTTGTAGCCTTCAGCAATAAATCACAAACTACAGAAAGCTCAAGATTCTACATTAAATTCACAAGCCCAATGCCCGGCCGCTCCTCTCAAGAGCTGCAGCTCGGATGTATGTCAGCAGGGGGCGGTGAGAAACACCCAAAACATGAGAACAGCCTTGAAAACAAAGACCTCCTCTTGCCTCCTTTTCTCCTCCAACTCTTGCCCTCTCCCTCCTTGCAGCTCCACTCTTCCAACCTGCACACCTGCCCCATCCCTCCCACTCCTCCCTGCCCCTTCCTTCCCACCGCAGTCTCATTCCCACCCGCATCTCCAACCCATGCATCAGCAATCACGACAACATCATCATCACCATCCTCTGCCACTCGCTCCATGCGCCGCAGCTCCATCATATCATGCTTCCACAGGGACCGTGCCACATACTTATGCCGCCTGCTGCGCCGCTTCTCACTCCGCCTCTTCTCATCTAGCATCGCCTGCACCTCCCTCACCCGCTCCTCCTGCTCCGCTCTGCACGCCTCACTTGCTGCTGCTGCTCCTCTTCCCACAACTAATTCGTCCAGCTCTGATGGAATATGTGTTGAGTCTCCGATTGTCGCATCCACCGTTGCTACCTCCTCCTCACTCCCGCTCGATTCACACCCCTCCTCTTCCACTCCACAGCTTTCACTCAACTCCTTGTCTTCCTCTGTCTCCTGCTCTGTTTCACAGCTTTCTGTTGCCAACCTGCTCTCTTCCTCACTTTCTTCCTCCTCACTCTCCTTCTCTCCCTCCTCACTCACTTCTTCACTCTCCCCTCCCCTCTGCTTGCCACCATTTATGCTTGATTCCACAGAATCCTCAAAGACATCCTCCTCTACTAACCCACACTCTTCCTCACTCTCCTCCTCCTCCGCCTCGCCATCCTCCTCTTCCTCCTCCTCATCTTCCTCTTCCTCCTCCTCCTCCTCCTCCTCCTCATCCTCTTCCTCATCCTCCTCTTCCCCATAGCTCACATACTCTCCATCACTCGACTCATCGTCTTCCTGCTCCTCACCCACCTCCTCCTCTCCTTCCTCTGCCTCCTCCCCACTCTCCTGCCCCCCGTCCTCCTCCTCTGTTTGGACCATAGACCTCGAAACGGCCTTCTGCACACTCAAAGGCGCCCGCACGCCCTGACTGCTGCCACTGCTCCTGCTGCTCTTCCCACTGCTGCTCGCACTCATGCCACTGCGACTCTCGCCCACCACCGTTGATCTTGCAGCAGCAGCAGCAGCAGCACCACCACGATTACTCAATTCCCACCGTTTCCTCCCAGAGGTGCCTGCTACTGCCGTGCCTGTTTGCGCATTCTCGTTTGTCCGTACCTTCTCCTTCTCCTCCAGCCCAACCGACTTCTCACACATAGCAGCTGGCGCAGCAACAGGAACATTGCCACACCGGCTAGCACCAGCAGCAGCAGCAGGAGGAGAAGGAGCAGCAGCAGCGCCACCAGCAGCCATTGCTGCTCCGCGCCTCTCTCTCCCGTCTGCTTGCACGCCAGCCCCTCTACCCTGCCCTTTCCCGGCTCCCACACCAGCCATCCTGAAACCTCCTCCCACGCGCGCACATCCCCCCCCTGCTCCTTCACTCTCCCTTGCACCCGCAGCAGCAGCAGCACCCGTGCCCCTACCCCACCTGCTCGTGCTAGGCACACTGCCTGAGGACGTGGAGGAGGGGGCAGGCGAGCCCGGCAGCGGAGGCAAGCCCCCAGCCCCCATCCCCGCACCACCACCCGTCCTCCCACTGCTTGCCTTCCACCCCGCCCCTCCCGCCCCTCCTGCTTTCGCTCCTGCTCTTCCTCGTCCTGCTGCTGCACCCGCGGCTCTCGCCGTCCCTGCGGACGGGGCAGGAAGGGACGGCCAGAGCGCAGGCACAGCTGCTGCAGGGAGAGGAGGGTGGGCGAGGGAGGGCGAGGAGGTGGGAGAGGAGGAAGGGGAGGAGGAGTACCAGGAAGAAGAGGAGCACGCAGACGTGGTAGCAGACGAGATGGTCCTTGCCCGCCCCGTGATTGCCGTTGTAGACGTGGTGGCGGTTGTGGCGGTGGTGGCGGTTGTGGCGGTGCTGGTGGTGGAAGCTGCACTGGAGAGGCATGGCGACCCCTTGTCCGTGCGCGCGCCGCCCCTCTTCTCCACCACCCACGCTGATATCGGCGCCTTCTCCCCTCGTCTTCTCCCCCACGCGCTGCTCTCTCTCGGCCTCTCTGCGTGGCTGTGCGCGCTGCCGCCTCTGCCGCGGCCCCTGCTGCCGCCCTTGGCTGCCTCACTCGCGCTTTTCTCCCGAGCCGCAATCGCCGCCTCGGCTCGTCGCTTGGCTCGGGCGACGGCAGCAGCGACGGCCGCATCAGGCGCCGCAGCAGCAGCAGCCGCGCGTCGCTTCCCCTTCACCGTCCCGACAGCCGTAGCACCTGCTTCCTTCGCTTGCGCTCCACCCTTGCTTCCTGCTCCCGGTCCCGCAGCACCTACTGCTGCTCCTGATGCTGCCGCTGCTCCTGCTGCTTCTGCTGCTCCTGCTGCCGGCGTGGGTGAGACACGGTGAGCCAGCATCCGTTGTCGCTTGCACGGCGTGGCCACAGACGCCTGGCTCTCCGTGCTGCCAGCCCCATGCACCAGGGACCCCCCGCCACACGCCAAATCACCGCCATGCGCGGACCCTGTGCGCGCGCCACCACCACTCTCCTGCCCGCACGCGCTGCTGCTCTCGCGCTCGCCGTGGTGGCGCGGCGATGGGATGGCCCAAGGCAGGCCTGAAGCTCGCGGTATGCGACTGGGTGGCGCTGCTTCCGCGCTCCTCCTCCCTTTGCTTTCACCGCCCTCCCCTTCCGTAACCACTGCTGTTGATACTTCTGCTGCTGCTGCCGCTGCCGCTGCTGCTTGCGGCGCTCGCTCCTTCTCCTCCTCCTCCTCCTCGTCGCCCCGTCGCCTCTCCCCTGCGCTCTCCACAGCACCTGCCAGTCCCACGAGTACAGCTGTTCCTGCCGTGCCGTCTGCCACCACTCCAATCCTGCCCCCTCCCGCTCCACACGCCTCCTCGTCTCCACCACCGCATCCCCCCACATCCGCGCAGCCACTGCTGCGCTCACCTGGCGCGGAGCAGGACAGGGCGGAAGGAGCAGCGGCGGCAGGGGGCGTGGCGGCAGGGGGAGTGGCGGAAGAGTGGTGAGCAGGGACGTGAGGTGGCGTTTCCAGGGATGTAGCACGAGGGGTGCTAGTGAGCGGGGACTGGTCCGCGTCAGCATCACCTGCCGCTGCGGTCGACATCGTTTCACTCGCAAGAACCGTGCGTGCCGGTGTTCTGTCAGAACCCGCAGCGAGTTCCGTGGTTATGACACCTGAAGCACCGGCACCATTCACAGCAGCCACAGCAGCGACAGCAGAAGCAGCAGTAGCGGCATTGAGAGGAGCAGGCGGTCGAGGCGGCGAGCCGGTAAGGCCTGGGGGCGTTTGTTGCCGACCAGCGGTGATCGCAGGACACGGAGAAGGGGCGGCGGTACCTGGCAGGAACGTCGCAACCGCTGACGCTTCCACGCCTGCAGCCGATGCCGCCGTCCGCTCCGCTGGCACCGCAGCTGTTGCTGTAACTGCTGCCGATAATGATGCAGCTGCTGCAGCTGCTGCTGCTGCTACGACGGCGTTTTCCTCTGCCGTTGCTGCCTGCGCCGTTCCTGCATCGGCCACAGTTGCCAAGGTAGAGCCAACAGCAGCATGAGGCGCAGCAGCTGGTGTTGCGTCGACCTCCGCGCGCTCCGCTGCGTCCCCATTGGCTGACTCCTTCAATTGACTGCACGCATCGTCTGCGCTCGACACGACGTCAACAGCAGCAGCGGGAGCAGCAGCAGGAGCAGCAGGAGAAGCAGCAGGAGCAGCAGGAGCAGCAGGAGGAGCAGCAGGAGAAGCAGCAGGAGCAGCAGGAGCAGCAGGAGGAGCAGCAGGAGGAAGCTGAAGATCAGGGGGAGCGGCAGAGGCCTGCGAGCCGCACGGCGGTTGCTCCTCGAGTTCCTGCAGCAGCGAGGGCGGCGGGATGGGGCCAAGTCGCCTGGCGGGCGCCGCCACGCCGAAGTGCCGCACCACCCACGCGTCGTTCAGCACCTCCTCCGCTGACGGCCGCCGCCCCGCCTCCACCTGGTGCCGCGCAACACCGGGGGAGGGAGAGGGGGAGTGGGGGTTGGATGGGCTAGGAGGAGAGATTTGGCCTGCATGGTCGAGTGAGTCGACACAAGCAAATCAGGAATAATGATTAGAGATTTAGGCTGTAGAAAGCTTTGCTATAACCTTGTTTTAAATAAGCTTCTTGCTACTCCTCTTTCGCACGTCGTACCTGAAGCATTCGCGCGACCAGTCGCTTCGCGTCGCCCGGCACAGATGGCCACGGCTTGGACGTCAGATTGAGCCGCCCCTCCATGATCCGACGGCCCAGCTCGTCGTCGTCGCGGCCTCGGAACGGCAGGCAGCCCGAGAGCATGGCGTACAGCACCACTCCCAGCGACCAGATGTCGGCTTTAAAGTCGAACGGCTCGAATCGGATCAGCTCAGGCGCCTCGTACAGCCGGCTGCCTGCCACGTCCGACGTCTTCTCCCCGGGAGCGAGAAACACGGCGAATCCAAAGTCCGCGAGCCGCACGTGCCACTGCAGCAGGGAGCGTTGACTCGCGCTCCGCGCCCCCAGCCCCGTGAGCGCCTTCCCCACCGCGCGGGTGGTGGCCCCGCCGACGGCTGCGGCGGACCTCGCGGCGGATTTGGCGGCTGCGGTTACTCCGCCACCAGCGGCGCCGCCTTGCTGCACCGGCCAGCGGATGTTCTGCGAGTCGCAGGCTTTATTCTGACTGCCAGCAGCAGGGACAGCCGACACGGGCACCTTCTTACCGGAATTCACGGTATTAGCGGGCTCTGTGGGCCGTTCGATGTTGAATTGCTGCGCCGTCAGCGGCATCGCCTCTTCGCCTCCCTGAGCGTTGGATTTGCCATCCTTCCGCCCCTCTTCCTCCCCGTCCTCCTCCTTTCTCTGCTGCCCCTCCTGCTGCTCCTGCTGCTTCACCTGCTGCCACCGCGGCGTCCTTTGCGCCTGATCCTTCGCGTTCGGGCTCGTCTCCTGCTGCTGCTGCAGTCCCCGCGCATTCCGCCCGTCGAGTCCCGCGGATCGCGTGAGCAGAATGTTTTCGGGTTTGAGGTCGCGGTGCAGCACGCCTTGCGCGTGGCAGAACTGCACGGCGGAAACCAGCTGGCGGAACAGGTGCGCCGCCTCCAGCGGATGCAGCCGCCCGTCGCCCACGATCTTATCGAACAGCTCGCCGCCCTCGCAGTGCTCCATAATTAAGTACACCGCCTCGCTATCCTCCAATACCTCCTGGAGCCGCACCACGCCGCCGTGCCGCCCCGCCAGCACGCGCATCACCGCCACCTCGCGCCTTACCTCGTCGCGGTCCCATGCGGACTCGAGCCCGCGCTTGCTGATTTTCTTGCATGCGTATGTCGATCCCGAGGCGCGGTCCTCCACCAGCCAGACGGTGCCGTGTCGCCCCTCGCCGATCTGCGACACGAATTCGTACGCAGCGTTGACGTGGCGGTCAGGGGGCGCCGTCGACGTTGGGAACACGCGGAAGGAGTAGGTTGGGGAGGAAGGTGAGCTGGGGGCGATGGGCGGAAACGGCTCGTGGGTGAGAGGCGGGGGAGTGGTAGAGGCGGAGGATTCGCTAGAGGCAGGTACATGTGTTGGTTCGGATGCGGTTGGGATGGGTGCGGAAACCGTGATGCCGGGCCAAGCTCCCGCGCTTAGTGCGCTACCGCTGCCTGGAGGCATGGCTACGTTCGCACAGTGTAGGAGTGGGCGACGATGTAGGCGACAACGTGTGCGATCACGTAGGCGACCACGTGGTTAGTATATCTGTGATTTGTGAGTCTGGATAAGGTTGACGTTATGGATTGGTGTCGAAATTGACTTCGTTAACGCGTACAGGAGACTATGAATCTGCTCTACTAGTACAGGCGTATTGGCGCGATGCGACGAGATGGGTGCCGGGCGTCGAGTTTCTCATACGAGCCATGTTTGAGTTACAGCTTGACAAGCGCCTCTATTCCACCTTCTGATCAGACGGACTGCTCGTCGCCGCCTTACACCCTCAAGATTTCAGACTAAAGGTACACTAGAGTAACACGTCTAGAGTACGTTCCTGGGAATCAAACGCTGGCGACATGCTGTGATTTCGGTGTCGAGAAAGAGAATCGTCAAGCAAGCAAGCTTTGTGGTCAAGGGCATAACGTTGATCCTCTTAGGTGGTGGTGGGAAAAGACCAGAATTTGGTTTCAGCAGAAACCGTGTCGCGTCGCGTCGAGCTTGTCCCAAAATGTTAGCAGAACCAATCCTGGAGCGCATCTCCGAATCGCGGATTCCGGAGGGCTTGTGGGTCTTGGCAAAATTGTTCCGGGCCAGGGAGAATTCGATGGTGGTCGTGTGGCCAGGCGACTGACGACGACGTTCGTCCAGCAGGCAGCCCTTCGCATGTCTCCAGTGGCACTAGAACAGAGAGACCGAGCTCCACTGTTTGAACGTCAGCTCACTTGTCGCAGAAGGTCGCAGCGCGAGTGCACTGACAGTTGGATTGGAAGGAACTTGGGGGCCAGGCACACGCATACAGGCCCCACTGCGGAGGCGCGCAGCGCACAGGATACCCAGTTCCCTCCCTCCCACCAACGAACAAAATTCAGGGGACACTTCCTCGAAGGCTCCCCGTCAGGCCCAAAGACCTTCGCTATTAGCCTTGTAACGTGGCGACAACTGTACATAGGACGAGTCTCTCACAAGATAGGTGTATTTCCCATTGGCTGGCTTATATACAATGGTCTCTATTCATATGATATATTATTAACATCATAATCCTGAGATATATGTTGAATACGAAGTGAACTGAACCTGATATGGCTACATAGTAAAGAATATCAATAGACTGAATGATTGCATAGTTATTTTCCAACATAATTAGCAATATCTCATAGATGTAGATGGCTTATTAATATCGGATGTAGAATGAATGCATAAAGTTCTCCAAATGACTAGATTAAGGCGATACAATGCATTACAACACACCTTACTTAAGCTAGTATAAGGACGCTCATAACTTCATGTACCAGGTACACTCATAACAGACCATTCCTTGAGTAATCTCCAGGTGCATTGCTCGCCCTAGTTCTTGGATAGATCAGTTGGCCAATGAAAAGCCTTTCTTGGACTGCCGGGACATCTCTCAGAGGTAGGAGAAAATACAGCCACGTCATTCGGTCGCCGCGTGGGGCATCCTCAGCAGCACTGGACTACCACGTGAGCTGCCAACACAGCGTCCCAGCCGAAAGCAGAGCAAGGCACTGGGCCGCAAGGGCAGCGCAGACTTTGTTCCACCTCTCGCAAGTGAGGATCTTTTGCGCAGCTGGCTAACCCAGATGCCCTCATTTGTGTGAACAAGATCGAGCCGCCATTCCCATTCTCTACCGAACGCGATTCGTGACGGCCGTTGCTGACCTCGCACTCTCATCCTGTCACGCATCTGCGGATAACACTCCGGACTCCGTGTGCTCCGCCGCAGCCCTCTTGGGGATCTTCCCCAAGACTCTGGGAGCATTCCTCCATTCTACCTAGCTGCTCGAGCGGAGCTCCCCGCGAGACAACTCCGGCGGTCTACAGTGACGAAAATTGCGAACTGGTCAGGTCAGGTCACATCACGTGGATTCCCAAGGCCCCCTCTCTCCCAATCACAGCACACCAGATCTCTCCGCTGGGAGGAACTCCACTCACCGTGCGCCCAACGTGCGCCATGAACTGCCGTCGTGGCATGCACCCCCTTCCCTGAATGTGCTGCGCGCGGGCATTCTTGCCCTAAAGGATCAGCGCGTGAGCGGGAATGGTCCAGAATGGGCGGAAAGGAGGGCCTTGCTGGCGGAGGGGTGGGGAGGATGGCGAAATTGGCGGACCAGCAGAATGAACCAGGCAGAGAGAACTTCGACCAGTTACCAAGGCAGGTCCATAAATGTTTGTGCTCTGCTGTTGTGGTTTGTGTACCACTGCCACTCACTCGTCACTCTCTACCTCAACCGCCTTACGGTTCTGCGCACTTGTGTTCCGAAAGAGCCTCTATCGCTTTAGCAGCCCACCACGTGACTATTATTTCGCCGACAGTCCATATTGCGCTCCTAATTTTCGGAATTGTCTCATCTCAAACTTACGCTGCCTCTGCATAACTCACAGATGGCTGCGACACAGACGCTAAGAGCGTGTAACACGTCTTTGCCAATTGGGCAACCACAATTACGCTCAGTTGGACAAGTCCGTGCTTCCCTAACTACCTCCTTCCTTCCAAAGCTCCACGTGACCCCCCTCGCCGCTTCTCAACTTCGCAAGCCAGAGAGTAGTTGTCGGCGTCGCTCTGCTCCCACGTGTTCCGTGCGACCCGACTCCAGTAACAAGGAGCAATTGCGGTGCAACGCGATCGGCCTGCTTACGCCAGAGCCTTACGTCGAGGAAAGGAACACCTTTCTCGAGGATGTTCAAGACACCGTCCTTGGAGCCCCGGCGGCAGCATCGAATTGGATCAAATCCAAGATCTCGCCTCGAGTTCGCGGCCTCGCGCTGCTTAATTTGCTCACCTTCCTATATGGTGAGCTTCTGTAGGCCGGAATTAGCGATGCATATGGTGGTAGTTCACAGTATTCTTTATCCCGCTAATCAGGAGGAACGCCATGATGCTTAATTTCCTGTTATCGTCCTTTCCCATTGCGTCCCTCCCTTACAGGGTCCAACCTCTCAGTGATCAAGGAGGGGCAACTAGCACTGGACGCGTTTAGCTTCTCCATCGGCCGCTTTGCCATCGCCGCGTTGGCGTTCGCGCCGTTCCTCCGCAAAGCGCTCGACAGGCCCGCCGTGCGGCGCGCGGGTCTGGAGCTGGGCGTGTGGGCCAGCGCGGGATACGTCGCGCAAGCCGTCGGGCTGCAGACCACGGAGGCGGGGCGAGCCGCCTTCATCGGGACGTTCACGGTGCGCACAGCTGGGCCCTTGAATTCTGCGAATTACAAATAGATTTGGGGAAACTGGCTGCTGGTTCCTCTGTTCAGTACAATTCCCTTGCGTCTGTACATGGCTGTTCAAGTCGCCGCGCGTCCTCAGGGTTATATCCGTCTGTCCCTATTTTCAATTATGCTCGTCCCCCTTGTGCCCTCAAATTGACCGCATCCAGGTCATCGAGGTGCCGCTGATTGCGGGCCTTGTGTTCGGCGCCAAGATCCCCTACATCACATGGGTCTCCGCCGCTGCAGCCGTCGCTGGCGTAGCTCTGCTGGAAACAGGCGCATCGGACTCGTCTCTCGTAAGTCGACTCGTTTCTCTTGCCTTGTGCGTCACTCCAGTTGCCTAAGATTTCAAGGTTCTATTTCATCTCCCGCCCAATTCACACGTCCAAGCGTCGAATTCCGCTCCTCCCTTTCCGCGTCCCCTCCGCCAATCCCAGCTGGGCGAGATCTGGACCATCGCGAGCGCGCTGCTGTTCGGCATCCACATGCTGCGCTCCGAGCACCACACGCGCCACGTGGAGCCCACGGACGCCATCCCGCTCATCTCCCTGCAGCTCTCCGTCACCGCCGTGCTCTCTATCGCGTGGATGCTGCTCCTCAACTTCAGCGGCGTGCCTATTCCCGGGCTTAACACGGTGCTGGCGTGCGACTGGAGCGCCATTCAGGCGTGGCCGTGGTGGCAGATGGCGTACACGGGCGTGCTCTCCACCGCCTTCTGCCTCTGGGTCGAGGTCGTCGCGCTCAGAGACGTCACCGCTGCCGAGGCCGCCATGGTTTACACTCTCGAGCCGCTCTGGGGTGCCGCGTTCGCGTGGGTGCTGCTGAATGAGCGGTGGGGTCCGGTTGGCTGGGTCGGCGCGGCCTTGATTCTAGGTAAGCTGCGCTTCTTGAACCTTCCTCTGGTTGATTTTGCCACAATTGACTTCACGTTCTCACCTTTGACTCGCCTTCTCTTTGACGCCGCCTGTGACCACTACCGCACAAAAGCGCGTTGTCTCACCCTTGTCCTCTCCTCTCCGCTTGCCCTGTCTCTCCCTCCCCCCCGCTCCCTCGCCCTCTCTGCTTATGAACAGTCGGCAGTTTGACGATGCAACTGTTCGGAAAGATGGAGGAGCCGGAGAAGGAGGGCGATGATGGGTCCCCGCTGCCGCTGGTGTCAGCGCTGGGAGTGGCGGCCACCATGGCTCTGCTCATGGCCCTCACTGCTGACGTGGACGAAGCTGTTGCCTCGCAGATGCTGCTGCCAGAGGGCCGGATGGGAGGGGAGGAGAATGCAGTAGAGATGGTGCTAGAGGCCAAGCAAGTGGCGCAGGTGTTGTGAGTTGAGGAGGCTCGCCTGTCCTGGCAGATAAACGAGAGCCATAAAGTGATGGTTGTCGCTGGTTTTGAGGGCAACTGGAGGAGTTGTTGCAGGAGTGGTGTTGACAAAAGGAGGATGTGGAGCACAGGTGATTGCATGGTCGACATCAGAGCAGCCCTGCTGCCAATTGTGGAGGGCTGTTGCGAACGCGGGGCTTGGGGACCTGTCATTTACCCAGGAATGATCCAGCCATACTCGCCCAGGTGCAAACATTCGTGCACACACACACTTGCTCTGCTGCCGGCAGTTTTGCAGACGGGGACGTCTTTGCTGGGAGCAGAGAATTGCAGCTGGAAGGAGCCGAGTTGGGTTGGGAGCTCACGCAAGCTCCTTTCATTGCATCAATTTTGTCCCTTCAACAGGGAGCCAATTTTGTTCCAGCGTACCAAGTCACCTGATGGTTTTGCAACGAGGGGATTGATCAATGATTGCAGTCTGGCTATCCTGCTGAGGGGGGCTGCTGCAGTGACAGTGGTAGTTTAGTTTAGGTTAGTTTAGGAACTCAATTTCCCTTCCTAATTTGATTCGAGTCATCAGCTATATTATATTGGTGGCTTTGACCATTTGTAATGACATTCCAACAATTAATGTGAACAAGCAGTTGTCGTTCAATTATAAAAATTCACACATCATAGCCATTCAGGCCAACAATCATCACCTAGCAAACCTTTGTAGTCTCAAAGCTCTCAGCTGTTCTGCAGAAGTGGCATGCCCTTGCAACCTTTGTGATGTCTGTGCTTGCTGCTGCTCATCTATTCCACTCTCCTCTTCCCCCCCATCTGGAAAAGAAGGTGCAGTGTCCCTTCCATACCCACCTATCATTCCTCCCCCCACATCTCTCCCTCCTGCTGGCCGTGCTCCCTCACACATGGCACACCGCACAGCCTGCCACGGATTGACATACGTGCATGCACGGCACCTCCATACGCCCCCTCCACCTGCTGACGCCCCTTCCCCCTCACCTGCTGATGCCGCTTCCCTCCCACCTCCTCCTCCACCTCTTCCTCCTGTTCCTCCTGCGCTCCGTCCCCGGCCCGCCGCTCCAGCTGCTCCCCCCCTGTCAGCCTGCCCCGACTGCCCAGACCCCCAAGTGCGCCCTCTTGAGCTGCGCAGAAACGGGAAGAGCGTGAGCAGCGGAGCAGCGAGCATGGACAGCAAGGCGGAGGGACGAGCAGAGCGCGGCAGGAGGGAAGGGCCATGGAGGTAGATCAGCCCAGAGAGGATCCCACACAGGTGCCCTAGGAAAGAAGCTTCCGGAACCAGCAGCTGAATCAGCAGCAGCTCTGCCCATGCTGCGTACTTAGTGGGCAGCACAAACCCATACACAGACGAGTAAGCGGGCGAATCCGCGTTCATGACGGTTTTAAGAGCAAAGAGTACCCCTGAGAACCCCACGGAGCATTCCCTGTAGAACGGCGTGTGCACCGCGAGCACGTCAGACAGCAGGCGCGCAGCAGCGACGTGCAGGGACTGAGAGAGGAGCGCGAAGGCAGCCACGAGGGCCGCGAAGCGCGGCGAGCCGAGGCGGCGCTCGAGGTGCACGCCCTTCCAGAGGAGCGAGACCATGTTGAAGATCAGATGCGCGTCGTCCGCGTGGAACAGCACGCTCAGTAACAGCCGCCGCCAGTTGCGCTCCTGGGAGCCGCCAGGGATGGGTAACGGGAGAGGACGCGAAAATGTTAATTTCCGGGAGAGAAGCAGGGCAAGTGGGTGCGAAGGCAGGGGCACGACGGGAAAGACAGGAACTCCAGTCCCGTTGCGCGAGATGAATTCAGACGATCGCGCGGAGACGAATTTAGAGGCTTGCGCTAGAAGGCAAGATAATCATGTCGGCTTACCTGGACGACGAGAGCTGGATTCATGCAAATCTCCGACACGTACGGAAGACTATCCTCCAGAAACCCTGCGGGTCGAAAATGGATTCCCGCCATCAACGCGATGAGCCCTAGGGTGACCGGCGGAGAATACGGCTGCTGGAAGAATTGCTGGAGCGCTTGTAACGCCATGATGTAGACGTAAACCGGAGCACCGGCTCCGCGACGGGACGACACCCTCCGCGACCACTGCGTGTGATACATGGCGAGAACTACACTGATAAGCTCCGAAAGCTGCGGCACAGGCGGAACCAGGAAATGAGATTCGAAGCTGCGGGCAGTCGTTTCAATGAAGCTGGTGGGATCACTCGGGTTTAGACCTTCCTAAGGGCGTGGAACATTTTAACGACCATGTCAAATGGTCGCCCATATGGTTGGGTCTGGCGATTGCGAAGGGTGTAACAGAGATGCGAATGTTGCGAGATTTCTATGTGATTCTGTTCGCCAGGACGTAGGGCACCCACTAAAAACCACCCCCAATAAGCAGAAACGTTTAAATTCGAGTTTGGGGGATGCATTCGAAAGCGGTGTGGGATGTTTGGGGGATGCAGAAACGTAAGCATTCGAAAGCGGTGTGGGATGTTTGGGGGATGCAGAAACGTAAGCATTCGAAAGCGGTGTGGGATGTTTGGGGGAGCGGAAAGGAGTCGAGCACATTCAGGGGTAATTTATGGATAGTGTGGGTGAGGCCCCAAAATACTTACGGGAGATACCACTGATTTCAGGTCAAGTCAGGGTGACTATTATGCGTGCCAGAAAATGCGGTTTCCCTAAATTCTTCGCAATCGCCAGAAACAACCACACATCCGACCATTTGGCGTGGTCGTTAAAATGTTCCACGCCCTAATGTCGTACTCTCTCGCCTTTTCCTCCTCGAATATCCCATCCTCGAGAGTGAGTCGTCCATGTGCGAAGAGTGATGTCTGTGTCTGGTAACCACGTTGCGAAAGACTTTTCCAGCGCGGTGAGGTGACAGAAGCTTTGCGTCGCGACGATTTACCTTCGAGGAACCCGCCAATGAGAGGGCACGAACGTCGTGGAAGTGCCGAAATGGGTCGCGAAAGTTCTAAGAGCCGAAATGATGGACAAATTTCCATTGATTTATTATTAGGGGACTGACTATCTAACAAATCTGTGAAAGCATTATTTTCAAATGACCAATTTTAGCCTCAGCCATAAATACATGCAGGAGCTCCAAAAAACAGCTGCAAAATGATCACCTGCGTGTGCTTCTATGTCCACTAACAGCAGTCATGATTGGCATGAACCACATGACCAATCTTGCCACCAGAACACTAGTCCTGAGTCCCTGTAACTCATCCCCATACAGCAGACCAAAATAACCCACATCCTTGAACCTGGTACAGAATGAACCCTAAATAAATAGACCTAGCGTTACCAAGTAGAATTAGAACTGAGGCAATCCATACCTCACATCTACACGGTGCATTGGTTTTCCACGCAGAAAATCCCCGAGCCTCACGACATGCTCCAGTCACCGCTGTTCTGCTTGTGCCCCAGGCCCCTGGGAGCATGAGGAGGCAAGGGGCCACTACGAGACCCAACCATGCCTCCTACAATGTCCCCTCCTCCTCCCATGCTGTACACACCATATCCTGTGTTCGGCGACCCTCCTTCACCACCATACGCCCCACCTCCCCCAGCCATCTGCGGACTCCCCCCCCCTCCTCCTCCTTCTCCTCCGCCTCCTGATGACCCCCCTACAATGCCCGTGCCACCACCTGCTGCTGCTGCAGCAGCGGCAGCAGCAGCGGCGGCGGCATGGTGGGTAGATCCCCTGCGCGATGGCAGGAAACCCTTCCATGAGTTTGAACGGTTCAGATTGCGAGCTGCTACTGCTGCCGCCGCCGCCGCTGCAGCTGCATGGTTGTACGGCACTGCACTCGCCCCACCTCCCTGGTGCTCTTGCTCTTGCCCTTGCCCCTGTCCGTGTGCTTGCCCTTGCGCTTGCCCATGCCCTTGCCCTTGTCCAGGTGCAAAGCGGTGCTCAGGGGGGGAGTATGGGTACTGGCCGGTAGGAGGAGATGGGCGGCCACTGAAGCTATTGTGACCCTGCATGTTCTGCATGCCCCGACCTGCGTTCCCCCCTCCTCCCCCTGGCGCAGAGGATTCAAGAGAGGAAGACGCACGGTGGGTGGGAGACGTGACAGACCGCATGAACGGAGGAGGCACCATGCCGCCACCACCACCCCCCATGCCCGCCTCTCCTAAGCCTCTCCCCCCCTCCATCCCTTGTGCGTGCATGGGGCTGTGTGGCCGCAACACCCCCCGTGGCCCTCCCCCCCCGGCGGCTTCTATGGCCCGCTGTGCCTCTGCCTGCATGCGCGGGTCATTGCTTCCCAGCCGCACTGGCAGGCTCTGCTGCCGAATCTCAAACGTCCGCACGCCGGACCCGCTCCCTCCCGCCCCGCCATGCCCACTCCCACCATACCCCACTCCCCCTCCCCCATGCCCATGCCCATGTCCATGCCCATGCCCGTGCCCGTGCACATGGTGAGGAGCCGGCCCCACAGGAGTGAGATTCGGCGTGCTCCAATCAGAATAAACCGACCCCGTCTCGTCGTAATCTGAGGCCGCGTCAAACGCGCTGTCGGGGATGTGCAGGCTGAAGTCCAGGTGCCGCTCCCTCATTTGCTGCGGCGGGTGCTCGTCCACCACGCGTGTGGGCAGGGGGCGGTCCTGTGTGTGCTCGTCGGGGTTGTGGGCGAGGTAGTCCGCGTGTAGCACGTCCAGGATGCGCGTGCGCACACTCGATGCCACTCCCTCTAACACACGGGAATAGCTCTCCAATACTGCCTTCCCCACGTCCTGCGGAAGGAGAGGGTAGGGGAGGGAGGAGGGGAGGTGAAGCGGGGAGCATGAGGGAGGGGTACGGGTGGTGGGGGTGAGGGGAGGGACGGGTACGGGAGAGGTGGGGGAGAGGGAAGAGGGGTAAGTGGAAGTGGAGTAAAGAGTGAACTCTAAACAAGGATGTGGCACTAAGAAACAGGCACGTTATTGTCACTGCAGTGCAGGGTAACCGCAATGGTGCAGTGCCACACAGCAGCAGGCATGGCGCTGATGTACCGACCGTGTTGTAGAGGATTTTGGAGGTGTCGAGAGTGGTTTGGGGCAGTGAGGGGCAGCGGTCCTTGATGCTGCGCAGACACGCCTCTGCTCGGTTGGCGTTCTCCTCAAACTTGGACACATCTCTCCCCAGCGGACCAGAGCTCGAGTAGTGCCCGCTCATTGAATGCGTCAGCTGGGGGGACCTGATGGGATAATGGGACGAGGAGCGCGAGTAGGTAGGAGTGGGGAGGGAAAACGGGAGGTGGGACGAGGTTGTTGGCAGGGATGTGGGGGGAGAAGGGGCGGTGGAAGCAAGCGGAGAGAGCTGGAAGAAACACAACCAGGGGAGCGAGAAACTCGTGATAGGAACAACTGCCACATGTAGCTGAATAGGGCAAAGCAGGAAGTGGTGGTGGCAGTAGAGCAAGAGGGGGTGCAGTAGGGGGGAGAGGCGCACTGAGCACATGCACGCACGCACGCGTACACGCAGACGCAGACGCACCTGGTGGGGGGAGGCGGGGCCATCTTGCGCCAGTGGTACACAGCGGCCTCGAGGCGGCAGGCGAGCTTGAGTGCAGCATGCTCGTTGGTGAGGTCCACTGTGTCCAACACCCGGTCCACACTGAAGCTGCTGCTCATTATCACCGAGTATATCTGATCGCCCAGTGCCGCCCGCCCCGACTGTGAGACGCGGGGGTAGGGGAAGGGGGTGGGGCAGGGGCAGGGGTAGGGACGGACGGGGGAGGAGGATTGCATGAGCGAGTGGGTGGAGTGGTGGGCTTTTTGAGTCGACTCAAAAGGCGGCAGGCGAGCTTGAGCGCCGCGTGCTCGTTGGTGAGGTCCACTGTGTCCAACACACGATCCACACTGAAGCTGCTGCTCATTATCACCGAATATATCTGATCTCCCAGTGCCGCCCGCCCCGACTGAAGGGGGTGTGTGGAGATGGGGGAGAGAAGGAGAGTGGGATGTGGGGGACAGGGTTGGGAGTGGTGCAGGGAGGGTTTGGGGCCCGGGAGGGGATTGTGTAAGGGAGTGGTGGGGTGACAGGCGAGGGGAGGAAACGGTTGGAGGGGAGAGATGGAGGGGACGGCATGCCCAGGGCAAGGGCGACTGGGCAGGATGATGAAGCGAGAGAGGGGGCGAGAGAGGGACGGCAGATCAAAGAACAGCAGCAACAGAGAAAGCACAATAGCCACACATGCATGCACACAATAGCCTACCTTGGGCAGGTTGTCGGTGTAAGCAGCAGGCACAGCCATGTCTTCAAGTGCCTGTGTGTTGATGGCCTTTGAGGCGACTAAAAAGTAGCAGCAGCCCTCCCATTCCCACCCAGCGGTACCTTGGGCAGGTTGTCGGTGTAAGCAGCGGGCACAGCCATATCCTCTAGCGCCTGTGTGTTGATGGCCATGGCGAGCTTGACAATCTGAGCCGCCTTCTCCATCTGGTGCTCCAGGTGCTTGCGCAGCGCCTCACTCAACCCACACACCGGCACCCGCGGCACCGGCCGCCACCACTTGCCGGTCTTCGACTCCCGCATCACCCCTCCCCCGCCGCCACCCCCACCGCTGCTGCCGCCGCCGCCGCCCCCGCCCCCTCGGGCTTTCGACCCTTTTTTTCCTCCGCCCCCGTACCCGTCGTCGTCTTCAGCGTCCGCCTGGCAATCCGCGCACGTGCACCCGTCGCGGTGGCGCGGGTTGCGACGGGACGAGGAGCCTGCGGCCTTGTGTGCGTCCACTGCGCCGTTGGCGACAGGGTCGGGGCGCTCCTGTGTGTACCAGTACTCCGTGCTGTTGCACTCGTCCAACATCTCCTGCATGGGGGATGGGGAGGAGAGAGAGAGAGGTGAGCGGTGGCTTTAGAGTCGACTCAAAAGTCGTTCCTGCGTGTACCAATACTCCGTGCTGTTGCACTCGTCCAACATCTCCTGCTCGGGGGATGGGGAGGATAGAGAGGGAAGAGGTGGGAGAGGGGGATGTGGAGAGGAGCGGTGGGAGAGTGAAGGGAGAGGAAGAGACAGGAGAGGAGGGAACAGAGGGAGAGGAGGAGGGAGGGGGAGAGGAAGAGGGAAGGAGAAGGGGCGAGGGAAGGGGTTGCGTTATGGGAGCGAAAAGGCCGACAGCGTGAAGAAACCCTGTTATACCATTCAAGATGATGGTAGATTAAACCTCCCACTTATGCTCGCAGTCAACCTCCAGCCACCCACCATACCACACCTTCCACCTACAGGTACCCACCCCAACCCACCCGTGACTCTCCGCTTCGCCATCAATCATCCCCATGCCCCCTTGCCCCGCTCCCCCTCCCCCCACCTCCTTCCCGCGTTTCCCCCCGTGCACAGCCCTCTTCCCCCCCCCCCCCCGCGCACCAGCAGCATGTCGTCCAGCTTGCGCAGAGCAGGCAGCTGCTGCCGCAGGTCGTCCCGCTGCTTCGTCACCATCACCTGCGCCGTACCAGCGCCAGCCGCGGGGGAGTGGGGCGGGGGGGTGGAGGGGTGGGGGTGGGGGAGAGGGAAGGGGGGTATTGGAGGGGGGGGAATTGGTGGTGGGGCGTGGGCGGTGAGGCGAAACCGGGGGGGGGGGGTGGGAAAGGGGCGATGGGGAGAGCGATAGGCGAGTGATGCGTGATGCATCACGCTGGGCTGGACTGCCAGCCACACCACACGAAGCACATCGCCATCGCTTGCTGCTAAACTAGCACTCCCCCGTCACGTATCTCCTTCCCGCGCCTCCCCCAACACCCGTGTTCCCCCGCCCCGCCGTCCCTTCCCGCCTCGCCCCGGATAATCCAACCCAGGTCCCTCCCCATACGCGCCTCTTCGCCCCCAGCGTGCCGGCGCCGCCATGCCCAGGGGGGGGGCATGCGCGTTGGGGCCGCGCCCGGGGACTGCGCTGACCGTACGGAACGCGTAGGAACGAGACGACGGCAGCGGGAAAACCACTGGCAGAGTGGAACCTACCGACGGGGGAAATGCCTTGTGAGGGTGCAACGAGCGAGAGGGCGAGTGAGCGGGTGCGTGAGTGGGTGCGTGAGCGGGTGAGTGAATGAGTGAGTGCGTGCGTGCGTGCGTGGGTGATTGAGCGAGCGAGTGGGTGAGTGGGAGAGCGCGGGAGAGGGGCGGACCTCCTGCGTGGAGCCGTCGGGCATGGGTTGCGACTGCGGCACGAGTTCGACGATGTGCTGGCACACGGACAGCATGATGCCCATCTCCATGCGCCACCGCCGCTTGCAGTCCGCCGATAGCGGCCGCAGCCGCATGCCCTCGCCGAACAGCGACACTGCGCGGCGGGCAGCGGGCAGGGGGCAAGGGCGGGAGCGGGCGGGAGGCGAGGAGGAGTGGGGGGAGGGGGCGGGGAGAGTGGGGGTGGTTTGGGGGGAAAGGGAGAGGGGCAGGGATGGTGAGCTTCTTCCGAAATGCATCAACAACGGGGGAGGGGGTTGAGTGGGATGGGCGAGGGAGGGAGTGGTTATGCGGGCGTGACTGAACGGGGTATGCGCGATGAAGCGCCACTAGTCATGGCATGATGGCAGAACGACATGGCATGACATGACATGACATGAGAAAGGCGCGAGCATAGATAGCGGCATGCTCATAACCAGTGCGGGAAACGGGAGAGAAGGAAAGAAAGACACTCGTTTGGAAAAGAAACGCTGGCTTTCTGCGGTCAAAACTCAGCAAGACTTTTACGCGAGTGAAAGATACATGCGCGCAGGAGGAGCGCGCATACCTGAGAGGTTGGTGATGGCGTTGGACATGGCGAGTGCGGGGCACACGCCCTTGGAGCCGCCCGACATATCCTCGCCCAGTAACAGCTTCGCGAACCGCTCCTTCATCATTCGCAGCTCTGCGTGGCGCGACGCCGGGCACGGGAGAACGCGCAACAGGGGCAAGAACGAGAGTGGAGGAGCATGGAGAGACGAGGCGACGGAAACGAGAGAGGATAACGAGAATGGAGCCATTCTTGAGAGCTTTCGACAAGGGCGAGCGGACGTTGAAGCGCGAAGCTTAGGCTATTGGTCTCCAAGCGTCGACTCCCCGTCGTCGCGTCAGCTCGCCCGCACCGGTCGCAAAAAGAATATTCTAAGACGGGAGTTGCTCTATCCTGCAACCTACCTGAAAACTCTTCATTACCGCACTGCGCCGCCGGTCAAACCATACAACTCCAGTGAATAGCACCCCGCCATCGCATCCCCACGGACCTTGCATGTCAACGGGCTCTGGTGCTGGTTGCCGCGTTGCTGCTTCCTCCGCCGCCATCTGGTTTGCGCCGCTGGCGGCCTCCCCCCCTTGCTGTCCGTATCGCGGCATCAGCGCGCCCTTGCGCAAGGGACGGCCCGCGAAGGAGAAGCCCGCGGCTGCGGTTGCCGCGAATCCACGATGCTCCTTTCGACTTCACGATCGGCTAACGGCCTACGCGTTACGGTCTAAGTTGGAAGTAAGACGGGAGAAATGCAATGCAGTAAATTTTATGGAACTAGAACTAAGACACAAGAACTAGGGTCCCGCATGCTCTACTGCGCCTAGCCAGCTGACATCTTCGGACAGTCATGGAAACTACCCTGAGGTGCAACCTACGCGGACATAACGGTGACCGCTATTAGGTCAACCATCCCTAGTTTACTTCGTTGGCGGATGACGACCAAAAATAGCTACGCGTTGCTAGGCCTTGGAAATGACGCGCCGACGAACTGGAAGACACGGACTAGCTTCACGAAATACAGTACGGGATAGTGGTAGAACGAGGAGCATCAAACTGCAGGCCGAAGGGATAGTAGCAGCAGCCTGGAATGGCAGACAAGCTTTAGGGCAGAACAAAAGGAGCGCACACCCGCCCGCCTCCGGCACCAGATGCTTCTGGAGGGATGCACCTCAGCGGCGCACCAGGGATGCGCGCGGCGGGGTTTCGGGGGAAAGGGCGGGAAAAGAAGCGGATGACTGGCGAGCGGGGGCGAAGGGGTGTACACACGATGCCCAACCACTGCACGTGAATCTGCCCTGCTCTTATTAGAAACTCTGCACCCGAGGTTTTTTTGCCAGCCGCATGCACCCCACCTATAAGCCCGTCCAACAAGTGGCCAAATGTATGGAAGGCGCCAAATCCGGGACGTGTAGCACAGGACAAAACCTGCGAACTATGGTTCCCGCTTGTGATGTTGACCCGATTCAAGCAGTGCGAAAGTTGTGAACGAAACACAGCTGGGATCGCAAACACATTCGGCTGTGACTCGTTGCCACGTAGGCGGGTTCATAGTGCTTCAAACAGAATTTAGCAAGGTTCAACACTCCACGTGTACCTTGCCCCAACACGGTACGTACCCCTTTCTGAACCATCCGATGCTCAACCTGCCCACGTCACAGTCTGTGGTTGAGGTAACAGGGTCTACTCCTGCCATTTCACGGGTGAATGCATGCCATGCACCAGCCCTTTCGCCAACCTCGCCTAAAGAGAAACCATCTCCTCGCACCCTGGTGACCAGAACTTCGCCATCCGCATAAAGTGGTGGCCAAATTTCACTCGACACCAGTATCTCTTCACCTCCAATTCTAGCCATGCCTCGTCTTTACCACCGTTCCCAGCTCGCCGTGCATATCAAGCGGGCTATCTGTGCCCACCATGTCGCCAACCCCCAGCTGCGCCACGTCGACCTTGCGCGCTGGTGTTTTACCCGCTTCGGCATTAGGCCCGACCGTTCGACGATCGGGCGCACTCTGAAAGGCGCGGAACGATGGGCCGCGACGGCGACGAACAACAACATCGTCCGTGTGCGGGGCGGCGCACACCCCGCACTTGAGCGCGCAATGGCCGCTTAGATTGCCAATGCGGGGCCTGCCGGCGTTCCACTCACCCTCGCGACCATCCGCGATCACGTCGCGAACATGGCTCGCGACATGGACGGCGTTCCGGCGGAATTCCGGTGCTCTATCGGCTGGGTGCGCCGTGCGTTGCGTCGCCAGGGCGTCCGTTGCATGAGCGCTGTGGGAGAGGCGGCGGACCAGGACATGGCCGCGGTGCGCACGGCTCGTGAGAAGCTTCCGCAGCTGCTGATGTATCTCTCGGTATCCGCCAGGGATACCTACAACTTTGACGAAACTGCCCTTTACATCTCCGTGCTGCCCCGGAAGACTTACGGCAATCGTCGCGTGGCCGGACGGAAGATCCCGAAGGACCGTCTTACCGTCGGCCTCCTTGTCAACGCCGACGGGTCTCATTCGTTCCGCCCCTTGGTCATCTCAAAGGCCAAGAGGCCCCACGACTTCCGGCCCGACTATAACCCTGACGATGTGTGCTACTGGCGCACTGCCAAGAAGGGCTGGATGACGACTGAGGTAAGGCTTTGCCGAATACGTTTGTTGGCCACTCCCATTCTGTCGTTTTCCTGCCTGACCATGAGCACCGTCGCTCATGTCTACTTTACAAATGGTTTTTATGCATGGTTTTCCCGTGCGATGTATTGCAGGTCTTCACTCACTTCATGGAGCAGCTCAATGCCGCCATGTACGCCACGGAGAGGAGCATTGTCATCCTCATGGACAATGCTAGCAGCCACGTCCTCAAGTCTGAAGGGGCCGAGACGGAGGACCTGTTCGGATTCCGCACTCGCAAGCTCAGCAACCTCCGCATCGTCTACCTGCCTCCTAACACTACGTGTTTCACCCAGCCCCTCGATCAGGGGATCATTGCGACGGCGAAGGCGCGGTACCGTGCGCATTGGCTCAGCGCCTTCACTGCGCAGTGGGCCGAGAACGGCGCCACGTCAGCGATGGCGAGGTACAGGCCGAACCTCCGCGACGTCCTGGCCTGGTTGCTCGACGCATGGATGAACATCGAGCGTCGCACGATTCAGCGCTGCTGGTGGCGCACCGAGTGCCTGCCGCGTGCGTGGGAGATGCAGCTTGAGCACGTCCGCAACGGCGGCAATGGCGGCGCCGGCGGCAACGGCGTCGCCGGCGGCAACGGCGGTCCCACTGAACTCGACGAGGCAGTGGGCGATGTGGGGATCCTCATCGACCGCCTTGGCCTTGGGCCTTCGGCGATGCCGGCCGCGGAGTTCGTGCGCGTCGACGACAATCAGCCGACTTGCGCCGAGCCGGGCGAGGACCCGCTTGCGATGGAGCCGCCGAATGTGCCGGCGCCTGAGATGTGGGAGGCTCCCGCCAGTATGCAGGCCGTCTATGACGACGCCAATCCGGCGTGCCGTGAAGCACGGCGCTATGCGCGCGCCGCGAGCGAAATGCTCATCGGCTACGCCAAGGCGACCGGCATCACCCCGCGTGACCTCTGCGCGCTGTTCGACATCCGCAACCCCATCATCAGGGCCCGGATGGAGCGCGCAAGTCCGCCGCTCAATCTGAACCAGACCCCACCTCCCGCCACGCCCGACGGCTCCACCCCGCCGGCGGAGACCCCTCGCCGCCGTGGGCGTGTGCTGCCGGCGTGGATGACGGCGCCGACCCCGCGTTGGGTCACCATGGCTCAGGATGCGGCTCGCCGCCAGGAGCTCATTGACGCAGGGGCGCCCGCCGTGATGGGCGGCTTCCTGGATGCGGCCGAGTGGATGAGGCTGTGAAGGGTGTTGATACCCCCTTGTCTTGATTTCATGCGGGGCTGTAAATGTGCAAGTCTCGTGCACATTGCAGTCAGCTTGGTGCAATGTTGTGAACATTGCATGGGGGACAGGTGGGGCTTGTTTATTGGGGGGGTTGGGCTGGTTCGTATCCTGGGTGGGGGAGAGCTGTTGTTTGTGATGAGATGGGTGATGTCATGTAATGGGGTGCATTGCTGTAATGGAAAAGCAGTGGTAACCTGGTCCACCAACAAAGAACAAGTAAGTCCGCCCTGCACTGTGCGGGATAAAACAAACGTGTTACAACCAGTGTTGGATAAAAGCACCTGGCAGCTTAGGCGAAACCCCACGAACTGGGCGAAATGCCAAAATCACTTATAAGCCCAGAGGGAAGCCCAAGTATGGGGGACTCTAACGGGCATCAGGTGTACTGCTGGCAGAGGAGACGGGATGGCGCGGAAGATGGGGCTGTGGAGGGGGTTTGGGGAATCCCGAAGATATTCTCGAGGGACGGGGGAGGGCGGGACTCAGCGCGGTTTGGTGAAGGTTGTGGGTTTGGTGAGAATGGAAAATGGGAAACTCGGAAGATGTTGGTGGCTGGTGTGTTTTGATGTTCGCTAGGTAATCACCCGACGAATGATTGAAGTCGGGGGCTAACGTAATTAGAAAGTGCATGGGTTTCGTAGACACCATTTAATGGAATCCACTACAGTGGGCCACATCAGTCGTTCACAATAACGAATTTCGGACAACCGAGGTCCTTTGTCGTCATTTTCAAGACAGTCATGACTCGTTTCTCGCATACACCAATGGTAAGCTTGGGCTCAAATGACCTGTTCCATTAGTGGCGAATCTAGTAGCCGAAGGAGAAGCGCGGGAGCAAGTAGGCATTGGACGAGAATAAAGGCGCGTCTTTCGTGGGAAGCGCAAGCAATATCGCTATGGACGGAGAAGCGGACACTGCGCGGACGACTGGCGTGGCGGAAGCAAGCATGGCCTCCCCGCGGAGTGGGGAAGCGGGCGGGGAAGGCCGCGCATCAGCGCGAGCGACAGTGAGTTCTGACCAACAGTCCGGTTGCCCGGAAGAAATTGGTTCTGCCGCGAGCGGAAGACCTGGCGACGGCGCGATAATGAGTGAATCCATGTCGGCGGAAGATGGCGCGCGGGCGGAACTCCGCTGCAGCGAAGCGGAGACGGACGATGGGGGAGGGGAGACGGCGGAGTGCGCGGAGACACGGAATCGAGGAAATGCCGTAGACGGCGCAGAGGGGACGAGCGGGAGTTCGAGTGAGCAAGGCGGATATGACGAGTTGATGGGGACTGGGGGGGCGGAAGCGGACGCAGAAAGCGGCGCGCGCGGAGGCGCGGAAAACGGGGGAAGAGAAAGGGGTGGAGTAGAAACAGGTGGCGGTGGTGGAGGAGAGGAAACGGCAGGGCTAGAGGGTAGAGGCAGTGAGGGAGATGATGAGCATGGGAGCGTGGATGGTACTGCCGATGCTGCTGATGCCGATGCTGATGCTGGTGCTGGTGCTGATGATGGTGGGGGTTCAACTGAGAGTGGTGGCATAGAGGGCTGGAGTAGCGTCGAAAGCACCAGCGTCTCCAGCAGCAGCACCACCCCCATGATCAGCAGAAGCAGCAGCACCAGCAGCAGCAGCGCCAGCGGCAGTGGCAGCGGTAGCGGCAGTGGCAGCGGCGGTGACGGCGAGAAGGCGAGGGCAGGGCAGGCGGTGGGCATGGGCATGAGCTTCTGGAGCAGCCAGCTGAGCTGGGCTGCCAAGGCTGTGCAGACACACGCGCGCCACCTCGTTGCACACAACCACCGCCGCTTCCAGGTGCACCGCCATGCCCGCTCCTACCCTGCTCTGCTGCTGCTGCTGCTGCTGCTGCTGCTGTTGCTGTTGCTGTTGCTCCCTCTCTGTGTCACCATCGCCTTGCATGCACCGAATGCGCCCATGTCTTGCCATCCATCTCACCATCAGTGAGAGTCACACCATGCCCATCCCGTCCTGACCTGACACACCCCGTGTGCACGTGCCTCCCTGCCGTGCGCATGCATGGCACGTGGCGTTGTGGCGTGGTCGTGTGGCACGTGGCGTGTGTGTGGCACATGGCACAGGAGGGGGGCTTCGACCTGGATCTGACGTACGTGACGGACAGCATCATCGCCATGGGCTTCCCTGCCGGTGACCCCAGCTCAGGCCTGCTCGGCTTCGTGGAGGTCAGTAGTACTGTGGGGTCATCGGCGCCTGGGGCCATGGCATGGCACTGGTCACATCACAGCGTGCTCTTGTGGGGTATCTTGCGTCTGCATGCATTGTGCATGTGGGCCACGTTTCTGTATGTGCTGTGCACTCGTGCATGTACTCATATACACGAACTGTGCGTGTGTGCGTGTGTGTGCATGTGTGTGCATATGTGTGCGCATGATCATGCATGCATGCATGGCACACAGGGCCTGTACCGCAACCACATGGACGATGTGATGCGCTTCCTGGAGTCGCGCCACAGTGGCCGCTACAAGGTCTACAACCTCTGCTCCGAACGCCTCTATGACCCCGACCGCTTCCATGGCACCGTGCGTGCACTGACGGGGATGGGGCTGGGGATGGGGAGGGGGAGGGGGAGGGGGATGGGGATGGGGATGGGGAGGGGAGAATGGGGGGTAGGAGATGGGAAGGGGGGAGAGGGGAGGAGGGGGAAGGGAGCTGGTTTGGTTGCGTTCATCCAGCATTCAGTTCAACTGTTCAGACCCCAACGAGGCGCCTTCTGGTCGTGCATGCGCTCAGCTGTTGTGTTCTCTCTGTGCCCTGTCTCATGCCATTTCGCAGGTGGCGTGCTTCCCATTTGACGACGGCACGTGCCCGCCCCTCGCCCTCACACTCGCCCTCTGTGAGAGCGCCAAGGGGTGGCTCGCAGGAGGGGGGCGGTGGGGGCAGGGGGGCAGCACAGGGGCATCTGCAGGAGGGGAGGGCGCGCAAGAAGGGCAAGCAGGGCAGGCAGGCAGCTCCAGCTCCAGCAGCAGCAGCAGAAGCGGCGATGGCAGCATGAGCAGCGGGGGTGGTAATGTGGTGGTGGTGCACTGCAAGGCGGGCATGGGGCGCACAGGCCTTGTCGTGGCGTGCCTGCTGCTCGCTCTCAAGGTGGGCACCTCGGGGGGGGGAGGGGGACGGCAGAGGTGTAGAGCGGAAAGGGATGGGGCAAGTCAGGAGCATGGGCTCGTGTGTGGGTTTGAGCTGCGCATTGTTACTCTTCATGCACTTCTGCATGCGCACAGTTTTCCGCTGCGCCTCCCGCCATTCTGACTCCCTCCACCCCCTCCTCCGCCACACCCCCTCAACACACCCCATGCCTCGCTCCCCCAACTCCCTCTCTCCCCCCGCTCCCACACTTCCCCCACGCCCTCACTCCCCAATGCATGGGGCGGGCGGGTGGCGCCAGGTGTGCAGCACAGCACAGGAGGCGGTAGCGCTGTTCCGAGACAAGAGGAGTGTGGATGGCAAGGCGCTCACCTCGCCCAGCCAACAGGTACTCCTCCCGCTCCCCCTCTCCCCCGCTCGACTCGACCCCTTTGTCTATCCCTTCCCTCCGTGCTTTGCAGCTTGTGCCACCACACCCCGTCCATGCCTTCGCCCCCATGCCTTCGCCCCCATGCCTTCGCCCCCATGCCCTCACCCCCATGCTCAATTCTCCCGCCTCTCATGTCTTTCTCTCAGTTGCCCCTTCCATTCTGACTTTCCTTGCCTCCTCCCTCCCTCCATCCCTCCCTCCCTCCCTCCCTCCCTCCCTCCCTCCCTCCCTCCCTCCCTCCCTCCCTCCCTCCCTCCCTCCCTCCCTCCCTCCTTCCCTCCTCCTCTCCCCCCCACGCCACACCATCAGCGCCACGTGGCATACTATGAAGCCATCCTGCGTGCCACCTCTGCCCCGGTGCCCTCACTGCCGCCCCCACGGTACGCTTCCTCCTCCTCCCCCTCCCTCTTCTTGAATCCTCCCCACTTCCCCCACACCGCCTCTCTGCCTTCCCCCAGAGAGCACAGCTTTGACCTCTCGTTCATCTCCCATGCGTGTGATCCCCTTGCCCCTTGCCGCTTGCCCCTTGCCCCTCGCCCCATGCTGCAAGCAGCCCCCTGGTGCTGAGGGGCATTCGCCTGCACCGCTGCCCCTACTGGATCCGACCATTCATCACCGTCTCATCCCCCTCAGGTGCTCCCTTGCTCCCTGCCCGCCTCGCACCTCACACCTCACACCCTCGCCTCTCCTCACAATCACAACCCCGTTTGCAACACACCACACCGGTGCCACTACTTGTAGTGTCGTAACTATGCTACTGCTTCCACTACTGCCCCTACTACCAGTGTCACCACCTGCTGCTCTCTCAGCTTCTCCCAGCCAACCCACCGTATTGACATCTCACCACGCGCCTCTTGCATTGTGAATCATCCGGCTAACTCACTGGCCTGTGCTGTGTGTCTGCTCGCACCGTTGCCCATGCATTTGCTTTGCCTCCATGCACCACTGCGCATGCATGTGCAGGAGTCCTCTTCTCCTCTCGCACTCATCCCAGAACGTCCCATCTGTCGGTGAGCCACCATCGCCGCCCCTTTCCCTTCTCTCCTCCCCTCTCCCCTCCCTTCTCTTCGCCCCATCCCAATGCTCTCCTCGTCCTGAGTCCTGAATATCATATCACACTATACTCTCCTAAGCTGCTCCACAATCATCGCCCCATCACCAAGGGGTATATACAATAATTTCAACAACGGTAAAAGGACGGATCATGAACGAAACGCGTGCGATTGTGTAGAAATGAACTGATTCAACAAAAGGGTTGACGGTCCACGCGCGTGCCTCTACGCGCGGCCCAAGGTCTTGGTCCACGCGCGCGCCTTGGTCCACGCGCGCGCCTTGGTCCACGCGCGCGCCTTGGTCCACGCGCGCGCCTTGGTCCACGCGCGCGCCTTGGTCCACGCGCGCGCCTTGGTCCACGCGCGCGCCATGGTCCCCGCGCGTGCCTTGGTCCACGCGCCCGCGCTGGTCCACGCGCCCGCCCTGGTCGACGCGCGCGCCCTGGTCCACGCGCGCGCCCTGGTCCACGCGCGCGCCCTGGTCCACGCGCGCGCCCTGGTCCACGCGCGCGCCCTGGTCCACGCGCGCGCCCTGGTCCACGCGCGCGCCCTGGTCCACGCGCGCGCCCTGGTCCACGCGCGCGCCCTGGTCCACGCGCGCGCCCTGGTCCACGCGCGCGCCCTGGTCCACGCGCGCGCCCTGGTCCACGCGCGCGCCCTGGTCCACGCGCGCGCCCTGGTCCACGCGCGTGCCCTGGTCCACGCGCGCGCCCTGGTCCACGCGCGCGCCCTGGTCCACGCGCGCGCCCTGGTCCACGCGCGCGCCCTGGTCCACGCGCGCGCCCTGGTCCACGCGCGCGCCCTGGTCCACGCGCGCGCCCTGGTCCACGCGCGCGCCCTGGTCCACGCGCGCGCCCTGTTCCACGCGCGCGCCCTGTTCCACGCGCGCGCCCTGGTCCACGTGCGCGCCCTGGTCCACGCGCGCGCCCTGGTCCACGCGCGCGCCTTGGTCCACGCGCGCGCCTTGGTCGACGCGCGCGCCTTGGTCGACGCGCGCGCCCTGGTCCACGCGCGCGCCTTGGTCCACGCGCGCGCCCTGGTCCACGCGCGCGCCCTGGTCCACGCGCGCGCCTTGGTCCACGCGCGCGCCTTGGTCCACGCGCGCGCCTTGGTCCACGCGCGCGCCTTGGTCCACGCGCGCGCCTTGGTCCACGCGCGCGCCTTGGTCCACGCGCGCGCCTTGGTCCACGCGCGCGCCTTGGTCCACGCGCGCGCCTTGGTCCACGCGCGCGCCTTGGTCCACGCGCGCCCCTTGGTCCACGCGCGCCCCTTGGTCCACGCGCGCGCCTTGGTCCACGCGCGCGCCTTGGTCCACGCGCGCGCCCTGGTCCACGCGCGCGCCCTGGTCCACGCGCGCGCCCTGGTCCACGCGCGCGCCCTGGTCCACGCGCGCGCCCTGGTCCACGCGCGCGCCCTGGTCCACGCGCGCGCCCTGGTCCACGCGCGCGCCCTGGTCCACGCGCGCGCCCTGGTCCACGCGCGCGCCCTGGTCCACGCGCGCGCCCTGGTCCACGCGCGCGCCCTGGTCCACGCGCGCGCCCTGGTCCACGCGCGCGCCCTGGTCCACGCGCGCGCCCTGGTCCACGCGCGCGCCCTGGTCCACGCGCGCGCCCTGGTCCACGCGCGCGCCCTGGTCCACGCGCGCGCCCTGGTCCACGCGCGCGCCCTGGTCCACGCGCGCGCCCTGGTCCACGCGCGCGCCCTGGTCCACGCGCGCGCCCTGGTCCACGCGCGCGCCCTGGTCCACGCGCGCGCCCTGGTCCACGCGCGCGCCCTGGTCCACGCGCGCGCCCTGGTCCACGCGCGCGCCCTGGTCCACGCGCGCGCCCTGGTCCACGCGCGCGCCCTGGTCCACGCGCGCGCCCTGGTCCACGCGCGCGCCCTGGTCCACGCGCGCGCCCTGGTCCACGCGCGCGCCCTGGTCCACGCGCGCGCCCCTGGTCCACGCGCGCGCCCTGGTCCACGCGCGCGCCCTGGTCCACGCGCGCGCCCTGGTCACGCGCGCGCCCTGGTCCACGCGCGCGCCTTGGTCGACGCGCGCGCCTTGGTCGACGCGCGCGCCCTGGTCCGCGCGCGCGCCCTGGTCCGCGCGCGCGCCCTTGGTCCGCGCGCGCGCCTGGTCCGCGCGCGCGCCTTGGTCCGCGCGCGCGCCCTGGTCCGCGCGCGCGCCCTGGTCCCGCGCGCGCCCTGGTCCACGCGCGCGCCTTGGTCCACGCGCGCGCCTTGGTCCACGCGCGCGCCTTGGTCCACGCGCGCGCCTTGGTCCACGCGCGCGCCTTGGTCCCCGCGCGCGCCTTGGTCCCACGCGCGCGCCTTGGTCCACGCGCGCGCCTTGGTCCACGCGCGCGCCTTGGTCCACGCGCGCCCCTTGGTCCACGCGCGCCCCTTGGTCCACGCGCGCGCCTTGGTCCACGCGCGCGCCCTGGTCCACGCGCGCGCCCTGGTCCACGCGCGCGCCCTGGTCCACGCGCGCGCCCTGGTCCACGCGCGCGCCCTGGTCCACGCGCGCGCCCTGGTCCACGCGCGCGCCCTGGTCCACGCGCGCGCCCTGGTCCACGCGCGCGCCCTGGTCCACGCGCGCGCCCTGGTCCACGCGCGCGCCCTGGTCCACGCACGCGCCCTGGTCCACGCGCGCGCCCTGGTCCACGCGCGCGCCCTGGTCCACGCGCGCGCCCTGGTCCACGCGCGCGCCCTGGTCCACGCGCGCGCCCTGGTCCACGCGCGCGCCCTGGTCCACGCGCGCGCCCTGGTCCACGCGCGCGCCCTGGTCCACGCGCGCGCCCTGGTCCACGCGCGCGCCCTGGTCCACGCGCGCGCCCTGGTCCACGCGCGCGCCCTGGTCCACGCGCGCGCCCTGGTCCACGCGCGCGCCCTGGTCCACGCGCGCGCCCTGGTCCACGCGCGCGCCCTGGTCCACGCGCGCGCCCTAGTCCACGCGCGCGCCCTTGTCCACGCGCGCGCCCTGGTCCACGCGCGCGCCCTGGTCCACGCGCGCGCCCTGGTCCACGCGCGCGCCCTGGTCCACGCGCGCGCCCTGGTCCACGCGCGCGCCTTGGTCGACGCGCGCGCCTTGGTCGACGCGCGCGCCCTGGTCCGCGCGCGCGCCCTGGTCCGCGCGCGCGCCTTGGTCCGCGCGCGCGCCTTGGTCCGCGCGCGCGCCCTGGTCCGCGCGCGCGCCCTGGTCCCGCGCGCGCCCTGGTCCACGCGCGCGCCCTGGTCCACGCGCGCGCCCTGGTCCACGCGCGCGCCCTGGTCCACGCGCGCGCCCTGGTCCACGCGCGCGCCCTGGTCCACGCGCGCGCCCTGGTCCACGCGCGCGCCCTGGTCCACGCGCGCGCCTTGGTCCACGCGCGCGCCTTGGTCCACGCGCGCGCCTTGGTCCACGCGCGCGCCTTGGTCCACGCGCGCGCCTTGGTCCACGCGCGCGCCATGGTCCCCGCGCGCGCCTTGGTCCACGCGCCCGCGCTGGTCGACGCGCGCGCCCTGGTCGACGCGCGCGCCCTGGTCGACGCGCGCGCCCTGGTCGACGCGCGCGCCCTGGTCCACGCGCGCGCCCTGGACCACGCGCGCGCCCTGGTCCACGCGCGCGCCCTGGTCCACGCGCGCGCCCTGGTCCACGCGCGCGCCCTGGTCCACGCGCGCGCCCTGGTCCACGCGCGCGCCCTGGTCCACGCGCGCGCCCTGGTCCACGCGCGCGCCCTGGTCCACGCGCGCGCCCTGGTCCACGCGCGCGCCTTGGTCCACGCGCGCGCCTTGGTCCACGCGCGCTGCCTTGGTCCACGCGCGTGCCTTGGTCCGCGCGCGCGCCCTTGGTCCCGCGCGCGCCCCTGGTCCACGCGCGCGCCCTGGTCCACGCGCGCGCCCTGGTCCACGCGCGCGCCCTGGTCCACGCGCGCGCCCTGGTCCACGCGCGCGCCCTGGTCCACGCGCGCGCCCTGGTCCACGCGCGCGCCCTGGTCCACGCGCGCGCCTTGGTCCACGCGCGCGCCTTGGTCCACGCGCGCGCCTTGGTCCACGCGCGCGCCTTGGTCCACGCGCGCGCCATGGTCCCCGCGCGCGCCTTGGTCCACGCGCCCGCGCTGGTCGACGCGCGCGCCCTGGTCGACGCGCCCGCCCTGGTCGACGCGCGCGCCCTGGTCGACGCGCGCGCCCTGGTCCACGCGCGCGCCCTGGACCACGCGCGCGCCCTGGTCCACGCGCGCGCCCTGGTCCACGCGCGCGCCCTGGTCCACGCGCGCGCCCTGGTCCACGCGCGCGCCCTGGTCCACGCGCGCGCCCTGGTCCACGCGCGCGCCCTGGTCCACGCGCGCGCCCTGGTCCACGCGCGCGCCCTGGTCCACGCGCGCGCCTTGGTCCACGCGCGCGCCTTGGTCCACGCGCGTGCCTTGGTCCACGCGCGCGCCTTGGTCCACGCGCGCGCCCTGGTCCACGCGCGCGCCCTGGTCCACGCGCGCGCCCTGGTCCACGCGCGCGCCTTGGTCCACGCGCGCGCCTTGGTCCACGCGCGCGCCTTGGTCCACGCGCGCGCCTTGGTCCACGCGCGCGCCTTGGTCCACGCGCGCGCCTTGGTCCACGCGCGCGCCTTGGTCCACGCGCGCGCCTTGGTCCACGCGCGCGCCTTGGTCCACGCGCGCGCCTTGGTCCACGCGCGCCCCTTGGTCCACGCGCGCCCCTTTGTCCACGCGCGCGCCTTGGTCCACGCGCCTGCGCTGGTCGACGCGCCCGCGCTGGTCGACGCGCGCGCCCAAGTCGACGCGCGCGCCCTGGTCCACGCGCGCGCCCTGGTCCACGCGCGCGCCCTGGTCCACGCGCGCGCCCTGGTCCACGCGCGCGCCCTGGTCCACGCGCGCGCCCTGGTCCACGCGCGCGCCCTGGTCCACGCGCGCGCCCTGGTCCACGCGCGCGCCCTGGTCCACGCGCGCGCCCTGGTCCACGCGCGCGCCTTGGTCCACGCGCGC